AGTTTTCTTTTTATAACAAACCAAAATATGCTTTTCATCAGATATCACCTTAATATTTAGATGACATGTTTATGTCAGCGAACAAAAGATAGCATACTTGCCATTCATTCAAAATTCGAAAGGAGGAATTTCTATGGTCAACGGGCATGTATATTTTTATACAAGTAGGTATGTTCGCCAATTTCTTCTTCAATTTTGTAAAACAAAAATTTCAGGACTTTCTATATAATTTCTTTTATATCCCACTCAGTGGCGTAGCTACCAAGGGGCTAGGCGGGGCAGTGCCCCGGGGCCCTCAAGCTCAGGGGGCCCTCGAATCTTTACCAGAAAATCTCAATCGAACTCAACTTTTGAAAATTTCTCCCATTTTCAAAATAAATATGGCAGGTGACAACTCGAGTTAAATCATGGCAACTCAGTTGTGAGAAATTCCAAAGTTATAAAAAGGGAATTCCCCTAAATTATTTGTGTGGGTTGACAGTGTTATTAATGTTTTCATCAATTTGTCGGATATCAATGTCTGCATATTATTATTTATCGATATCCGTTTTTTGGGATTCGCGATTGTGAACTTCGAGTCAAGTTTTTTTTTCTAGAATGGTTAAAAAGTTAATGTATCAGTAGTAAGTAAGCGTATGTCAATAAATTTTTTGCACTGGTCCATACAAAAGTTCAATTTTATTTGATTATAGTACTTATACATAGTTACGTAAAGAAATCTATAGATTTCGGCTACTCACTATATAACTCAAAATACCGTCGCTACAATGCTAAAATACCGTAGGGGGCCGTCCATTAATTGCGTGATGTTTTTTGACATTTTTTAAACGGTCAAATGTGGTAACACTGGCGGCGATAAATGTTTGCCGGGGATTCCCCATTATCATTACGTTTCGCTTTTCTTTTACTAGTAACGTTGTCAGTGAACAATGAGTAGCTACTTAAGTACAATCTTAATAAATAAAACTAATAAATAAATTAGAAAACTATTATTATGGACAAAAAAAAAAGAAACCCATAGGTGCATTTAAACGCAAACAACGCCAAGAAAGAGAAGAAAGTAAACAAAAATTAAAAAAACCCTTACCAGTTTTGATAGCAGTGGGCCCCATTTTTTTATTTGCCCCAGGGCCCTAGGTTACCTAGCTAGGCCACTGATCCCACTCTAAAATCGTTCCCTCTCTGCTGAGACGGGACTCAATTTTCTATTTAGGCTACCAACTGTACGTCTCCATCGATTGCGATTACTTGCTTGAACTAAAAATAATGAATTAAAACATTTTTCAAAAAGTCAAGAAACATTGGAGGTTACTATTTAATAAACTACAGAAAATTTCAGCCCGACTTCAATGGTTTCTGAAAATTTTTACCGATTTTAAGGTTAAGTATTATTTTTCACTTTTTTTTAAGTTTGAAATCTGTTCTATTTTTTTAATGTTTTAACCCAACACAATAGTTGACAAATTTAAATTTTTAAAATTTTTTTGGATATTATCTTTCTTTTACCAGAGATTTTGTGTGACAAATCAAACTAGCCAAAGCACTTTATAGGGCGAAACAGCAATCCCAAAAGAATAGACTCGTTCTAGTATAGGTACACGGTTAATCTTGTAATATTGTAAAGCGATGCAGATTCTAAACAATCCGCATACTATTAGTACGCAATTCTCTGAAACCATTAAAACACCAGCAGCATAGCACTTACAACAAGTACGAATGCAAATGAATCATGAACAATGTTGAAGAGACACATGATGTGACATTCATCATGGAAACTGTAGATTTCTAATGAAATAATGAAATTGCGTTTGAACTGTTCCTTTTTTGTTGATATACCTTTTTCATATTAAACCTAACGAAACTAATCTACAAGTTTTTATTTCAAAAATTATGGATTTGCCAGCAGTTTTAGTTTATCTAACAAAAAGACACGTCAAAATAGTAAAATGGAACGGAATATCGCTAGACTATCGCTAAGACGTATCTTATTATAAGCCAGAGGCATAGGCCGTCGCACTCTAGATAAAGAGAATTTACCTACTGTATTGTTACTAGCTGTGCCTGTTCCTGCTGCTTCGCCTACATAGTCAAAGGGAAATAAATAATAACTAAGCTTCTTTCTCTACAAAAAGTAGCCAATATTACTCTCCAGTCTCCACACTATCTCTAGAAAAATATTATCACCATCGACGTGTTTGTCTCGTTTAATAAACATCTTTTCTCATTTATATTACTTACCCAGTATAGAAATATTATTAATATATGTACCCATTCAAAACCTAATATATATGACATTTTCGTATCATAACTTCACTTTTTCTTGTACTTTTTCAATTCAACGATTTTACTACAACATTCAGTACATAAAACTGTGATCTAGGTACTATTATAATGCCTTATAGTTATTGTGTATCCGTCGTATGAATAGAACGGAATCACAATTATACTGTTGACATCTAGATTGATTTGAGAGCATTATTAAACTGTGGATTTAAATTATTATTCTTGCTTATACTTCTGACTATACTAACTACCTAACTCTCAAACCACTAGTTAGACGTCTCATTGATTTAAACAATTAATATATTTATTTTCTTTCTGGTTCCTCTAACTAAAATTGAAACAAACCTTAGTGTTTCATTAAATATATAGATTATATAAATAATGTTAATTGATAAAATCAATAAAATGCACTTATAACTATTGCTTTCACTTAGAATTACGGTTTCCCAGGAAAGAGGTTTTTGTTGGGTAGACCTCCGGTAACGGAGGAGAGTCCCACGTGGGGTATGTGGGACTCTCTTTACGTTTCTCGCCAGGATGCAGTAAAAATAATACTTAAGAATTCCTTAGCTATCAACGCTTAGCTAGTATACCCGAGTGTAATTACCACGTCCAGGAGAAGTAAATCATATATTATTCAATCATATAACAGTATTGTAAACCAAGGCGATAGATCTAATATTTCGAGAAAGTTCCTAAAAATAAATAGTGCCAGAGGAACCCACGTATACTATTAAACGTTCCTTTTGAATCGCCCAATTTAATTATAAGCATACATATCTGTAATATACAAAAAGCTACTCTATTTTATACTATGTATTGAATAAACTATCTTAACGTCACCCGTATACTATGTAGCAACCCATATGTAGGTGAAAGAATTTTAAAAATATTATATCAGTGACTAACTGCATACTGTTACTTCATGAAGAGTTGTCATATTATAAACCACCAACATATATTTATGCAATTACGATTAACGGTGATTGATCATACCATAATTATTAAATAAGAACTACCTAATCATACCACATGAATATTAATGAAATCAATACGATCCAATACTCTACTTTGTGGCTAATGTATGCTAATCATGCAATGTCATAGCGTAAAACACGATAATGTGCTAAATGCATATTGATAGAAGCAAGTTTTTTTTTCCTTTCGTTCATCTATTCCATTCATAAGATAATTTACCATGACAATACTATTTATGAACAGTTATCTATTGTTTAGTTTGTCTATTATAAAAACTATGTTCAGTCATTATAGCTATAAAAAAGGAAGGAAAACATTAGATCTTTAATCAGGTTTATTTTTTGTCAATTCTCTTTGGTATTGCAAAAACGTTTCAACAATTTGCACAGAAAGGATTTTCCGCTTCAGAACTAGAGTTTCGATAATTACCTACATCTTAATATCGCAATTTCGATATTAATATAGTAGGCAATTGAAATTGCAACCATCGAAATATCAATGTTTTGAATATTTGATTATATAGTATGGTATTAATACCTTTGTTACTTAAAAAATATATTTAATAGAATACCTCTGCCCGGAAATCGCCAATTATATATCTACCTACCATATTATAAGTATAGATAATTCCAAACCTTTACCGACGTCCGTTTTTAGTTCCGATAACCTTAGGTACGAACTTATAATATAAAAGAGTATCATTAGTTAGTATCGTTAGGTAGAAAACTATAATAAGTAATCATAAATGCGTGACTGGCATTAGTATAATTAAGTTTGTGTAAAAAAGTATTTTAGCTTTTTGTGTAAAAAGAGCTTATGTAACTAGCCCGTATTGTTATTGAACTCGAGTTAAAAAATATAAAACAGAATATAACAATGAAGATACTCGATCGTTTTAAGCTGTAAGGAGCTGCACAGATTAATACAATTAGATTTTGCTTAGGTTTTGAACGTGTCATTTTTTTTGTCCCGGTATTACCTTCGGGGACTCCGGGATAGATAACCGAAAAACGGGACATCTAGTTACCTTATTCATGGACCAATTTAAGTACTTAAAATTTCACTTTAATGGGGAAGTATGTTGTTACCTACTAGTTCTCATCTGACAACATAAATCAGTTAATATTGATTAATGTTTAGTCTGATGTAACGTTAAGGCCAAATTAAATTGCAATGTTTATAAATCTTAGATAATAAATCTGTTTAATAGAGTAGGAGGAAGTCGGACGTGGATTTTTTATTACTTATAACTTAATTTTAAAGGTTGCCGTTTTAATAACTTAAGTCTATTCTAAAATTGCATCTTAAAAAGTAGTTTTAATAGTAACAAAAAGTTTAATATCCTAACCAAGGCTTACACGTCAGTTTAAAGATAGCGCCTTCTCCGAGGTCCCGGATTCGGTCGAATCAATGTAGGTAGGAAATGATCTTTTTCTATCTTTATTGTTTGTTGGTTATTACCGTTGTTGTTTCAAATACTGTTGAATAGATTATCACTTATGCTCTATTTCTTGAAATCTGTTTTTAAACGACTGCCCAAAAATGGAACTTATGTATTTAGAGATGATGGACTATGGAATATTTGTAATCTAAGAGGTCCCCGACTGTAATGTAAGTTTTGTTAGAAGAGTCATACATAATACAATCGTTTCTTCTATTTTTTGATTTTATTGTAATTTATTTTTTATAACTTGACGTGCTGTTGACTGTACCTAAGGCTTTAAGATTTTTTTTGTATTTCTTACAGTATTCATAATACCGCAGCGATGGGTGATGGCTATAATGGGCTTTTTGGCGGTGGCGAATGCGTACACTATGCGCGTATGCCTGAACATTGCCATCACACAGATGGTGCGGAGGCGGCATAACGCTGTCGGCGTCGACGACGGCGCATGTCCCGGTGAAGTTGACGAAATTTCTCCCGACACAGCTGTGAGTCTACCTCGTTCTATACAAAGGGGACGAGGACAATTTTTTTTTTGTTTACCCGTCAGGTAGTTTGTTAAAAAATATTAATCATAGAATTACACATGACGCTTTATATCTTCTACAAAACTGTTCCGTAGCGAACCCCGCTCCTCAACTTTAATCTGCCTGTTATCTAAGCTATTTCTTGTTAAATTGAAGTTTAAAAAAAACGACCTATCTAATATGTTTCTATCATCTGACTGACGGATTAAATAGAGATTTTTTTACCCTGTCGTCATCCCACCATAATTGCAGTTAAAGTTAAGGTTTATGTCAAACAATAGGTATCTGTCACGCTGACTTTAAATTCAACTGTGGAATGCGTTGCACCATCCTCTTTCTTGACATGTAAAACAATAACTTTAACGAGCGAAACATAGACGGTAAGTTTAAATTTAAAGTTATGATGTCATCAAAAAATTGCCAAATGATAACTCATTATTATTTGCATAACCGGCACTTTGACATGTTTGATATTATATTGTTAAATTTTATTATTTTATTTATACACAAGGTTTTATTATGAATGATGAAAGAATGATGCATATTATTCATCAATTTTTATCATTCGTTCTTCGTTGTTAAAATACATGTCAAAGTAGTAAAATGAAACTAAATAGCGCTATAATATCGCTAACATGTCATATCCCTATAGGTAGAATTATAGCTAGAGGAGTTAGGTGATGGCTTTGCTGGTCTACCTAAATTATATTATATGTGGATTTGACAGCAGCGTTTCCATCTTAGTTATTTATCCCAAATTTATCTACCTAAAGATAACGTAACAAAATGAAACGAAAAATCGACATAATATTCGCTAAGATGTCGTATCCTATGGCTATAGTTAGTCGCTCGCCCCCTGGAACCTTGTCGCCTATGTAAAAGGTACATCATACAACTTAAGGTCATTTGCACAAACATCCATTAAGGTTTAATGACGACTTTAAGCTCTAATGAATGTCCTAAATTAGCAAATTTGTATCGGTAATGTCGCTCTAAATAAATGTTAATTTGAATGGACGTTTGTGCATCTGGGTGTTATAGCTTTAAAAACAGCATTATTGCTAAATATGTATTATTAAATTGTAATATCTGTGTTGTTAAAAAGGCATTAATAATGTAAACATTCGTCAATTCGTCATACGTAATGCGAAGGTTTTTCGGTGAGTGGAGACTAAAATACAGCTGTAGAATTCACACGTACGTAGGTAGTATTATGGGATACGGTAATATAATCTGAAGAACCCAGGGGGCCAATTCTACTAAATAAATTTTGTTTAAATCGATTCGAAACTACAGTTTTTAATGGTTTTCCTATTCTACAAAGTGACATACGATACCATTCCAGTTCTATTTTAGCTAGAATTGTATCGTATGTCACTTAGTAGAATAAAAAAACCATTAAAACTGTAGTTTCGTCCGGTTTCGATTCGTTTTCGATTCGATTTAAACAAAATTTATTTAGTACAATTGGCCCCCAGTTTTCTTCACACTCTCTTACAATTGAAAGAATTTAAAAAAGGTTTTTATGTCACATAGCACGTTCTATAGCAATGGCAAACAGATCTTCCTACAAAGAGAGACTTTTTCCATTCATTAACAATTCTAACTAATCCTTTTATTAATATCAGTCATCAGTATGGGAGAGTCCTTGCTGACTTTCTTGCCGGTTCTTCTCGCTACAGGATCTCCTGCAGTAGATTTATAAGCCGATGGCATAGAGTTTCAACCTTCTGTTTTAACTTGGTTTGCTCGGCAGTGGGACGCTGCTGACGCTTCTCATATACCAGTGTCATGATAAAATGAGTTATTTTCTTATTCCAGGAAATAATTGGTTTCGATTGGAGCGAGGAGACGCAAGGTATCATACTCAGCTCGTTCTATTACGGGTATATAGTTACTCATCTGCCTGGTGGTATGCTTGCTGAGCGATTCGGTGGAAAGTACTCTTTAGGATTCGGAGTGCTTAGTACAGCATTCTTCACTTTATTGACGCCGTGGACTGTTCATGTTGGAGGAGCAACTGGACTTATTGTGCTCAGGGTTTTAGAAGGGCTTGGTGAAGTAAGTTTTAAAGCGAATCATATATTTTGCACATAAAAGAAATACTTATTAAAGTGTTAGAAAGTAAGCTGTATATAAAATAACCAGTAGGGCAATTCCGTTAATGTTTTCGTAATAATCACATTTTAATAGAATCTCAACGAAATGAATTTTATCAATGTAGTACTAAATTCTACCATTGTACTAACTGATGATTATATTTTATAAATTTTGCATTCACAATACACAATCCACTTTGTCCCTGTTTATATTTGTAAAAATATTTCTTTCGACTGTTTGGGTGGACTCTATGAACATTAATGAAAATACGCTCTGTAGTAGCGGAAAAAGTAACAAGTGCTTGAAAAATTCGTCAGTCCTGTTAGGTCCTGGGTAGCTCAGTGGGTAGTCGTCTTTGGTTTGACTCCTACCTCAGAGTGCCAGGGACAAAGTAGATTTTTTTTTTAAGAATTTTTCCTTAAGAATTTTGTATTTTCTACTTAAAGTCCAATACATGAGATTCTATAGAGATGAGATTATTACGTAAACATTATCATGATTGGACTGTAGTTGACTGACTTGATCTGAATTCAGAGTGGTGTGTTTTACGCTAACGCGTTCACTAGTGAGCGCGTTAAGAATTTGTATGGAGATTTGTAGTTCTTGGTAGTCACCGCTAGGGGCGTACCAGATTCCATACTAAAATCTTAACTCGCTCACGATCGACAGTGAACGTAAACGTCAAAAAAACATACACTAAGCGCTCTGTATAAAACCGGTTAAAGTTGCGTATAGTATTCGAGTTCTATTATTAACTTCAATAATAAATGCAACAACAAAGAGATCATGTATCGTCGATCCTTTCACAAATTCAAAAGTAGATTTGTTGATCACGATCGATTGTATTTAAACAATTTGCGAAGGTAATAAAATCAAACATGGTAAGAATATTATACCATTAAGAATTAAAATAAAAAATCGGCTAAGTGCAAGTCGGACCGACGCACGAAGTAATCTAAACCTTTATCTGTAAAAACGAGCAAAAAACCTCACGAAAAAAAAACCATATTGGAACCCCCTAGCATATTAATTTTATTCTGTCTTTTAGTATTTTTTGTATAGCGGCAACAGACCTACATCCATCTGTGAATTTCAACTGTTTAATTATCACAGTTCATGAGATATATACCTGGTGACAGACAAACGGACGTACGGACAGCGGAGTCTTATTAATAGTATCCCGTTTTAACCTTTGGGTACGGAATTCGAATAAATAATAAACTTTTTAGGTATAATACTGTTTAATTTTGAAAAAAGATGCCTTTATAAAACTAAGCACAGTGAGATCGAAGGGTTTTAAAACAGAGCTGAATTGTATTAACCCTCATATAATATAACCACCGTAGATAAGAATTTCATTTGCGATGATGCCAACTCGTTTAGGGTTATCAAATTTCGAAAAATCAGGTTATTTCTTCTCACATCTGTCTAAAAACCCCTCGGTCTTGTCTATTCTAGAATATGTTTCTGGGCAGTCTATAATTATCATGTAAACGCCAAGAAAACTGTAGTGTAAGTACAAATCCTTTACTGATAAGTATATTTTGGTTTATAAACATTTTCATCATAAAGATTATTAATATTTTTAATTTTCTTTATCAGGGTACAACATTTCCAGCTCTAAATGCTTTACTAGCACGATGGGCTCCTGTATCCGAGAGGGGACGAATGGGGTCTTTAGTATTTGGCGGTGCGCAAATAGGAAACATAGCTGGTACTTATTTATCAGGCCTCGTGATGAAGGAGACTGGGGAGTGGCAATCAGTGTTCTACCTATTTGGTTCCATCGGCATACTATGGTTTATATTATGGGTAAGATTGGGCGATGTGTTCAAAACATTATATGTTATTATTAAGCTAATGAATTTGTCAGCACAGTTAAAAATTAACGACTGTAGGTACATTTGCAGACTATTTTAGTCGTTTAATAAAAATAAACCCTTTTTTTCGTGCGTCAGGGAAATGTATTAAACTTTAGCTGTCGCCTAGCAAGGGACAGGGATGTGTGGGGCTCTTCTCTTTAAAACTACCCGCTTTGTGGATTGTGGTACCGAGTAGGTTCCTAAAAGCGTACCTTCCCACTAAAATCCTCTCAGCAAGAGGTCGAGTCCAGGGAAATCGTGTACGATATCCCAGCAGGTCAATTCTGCAAATGTTTGTTAGTGTTAGTTTAATATTATTAGTGCGATGTCTTCCTCGCACATCAACGGTGAGATATATAATAATATTGGACTTTAGGTAGATAATACAACGGAAAAATGCAAGTCGTTGAGATTCTGTTGAGATGCTATTAAATAAAAATTAGGAGAATTAGCCTGCTGGACTCTCGGTGTCTCTCGAAACAACCCCACCCTCCTAATTACATATTTCCTTTGATTCGCTGAATTATCCCTTCTTGTTTATATTTATAACAAGCATAATACACAAATGATTCCTTCACAGGCCGTACTCTGCTACAATGATCCTGAATCTCATCCTTTTATATCGGATAAAGAAAAGAAATATTTAGAAGAGGCATTGGGCAGGAACCGAAGCAATCAACCGTCTTCCATACCGTGGAAACCGATTTTCATGTCGGTTCCACTTTGGGCTCTTGTGTGTGCTCAGGTAAATATTTTGAGAGAAACTATAATATCTACTAACTTTCATACCCACTTAGTAACTGCAAGACTTGCAGTGATATTGTGTAAAAAAATGTGTTATTAAAAAAAGGAAAATTATATTTTTATTCATTAAAACATTCAGTCATCTATTTCGAGTTGTGACGTCACATTTTAATAAAAATTAGTATTGATAGCTCTTGTAATAGTTTTCTATTGCAATGTGACGTCACACGATGCTCCGTCATAGCCGCTGGCATTTTGCTTTTTTACCCGACTGAAAGGAGGGTAATGTGTTTATCATATAGTGTGTCTATGTGTGTATGTTTGTTTCTATGTGGCGTTCTAGAGTAATGTGTAGGCTGATTTTGATGATTCTTACGTCAATCGATTCGTCTTTACCTTTCGAGTGTCACTAAAGACACGACAGTAAATAAAATCATCTTTAGGTTCCTTTTATCATTTTTCATTTTAAATAATAGTTTAGGATATGTAACGATTTAAAGTTGTTTACAAAAATAACCATTCTCGCTAATTTTCTTACTTATTGTTTTAAGTTTTTATTTAACGTATAAACGTACAAACAAAAAAGAAACAGTGAAAAAGCATGAGGAACAAATATTTTAAATGTTACCCATGGTCTTGTTTACGGAGCAATGGGTGTTATGAGGGCAATTCAGTGGCCAGGTCTTCGGAGGGACCAATTGGAACCCGGAGAATTGCCACAGGCTGTTTATATAGAATTTGACGACAAAGCAATTAAAAACAATGTTCCTGGAGTAGGAGTCAGAATCGAACCAACGACGACAGAATTCGATGCACTTCGCGGACAGGGTAAAATAGAGCGGAAAAATGTTGCCATTGATATTGTGCTGGGGTGTAACTGTACACAAACTGCAAGGAACTACTTTGGACCGAGCTGTGGTTGACTTAAGTTCACACATTTTTGCTAAAGGTCAAGCATATTTGTAGCTTTGAGCCGAGTTAGATTTCTAGAGGGTCTAATCATCAGTAGTTTAGACCACCGCAAGTTACTTTATAATCCCCACGATATTAGACCCTCAATGAAATGACTAGATTGCGAAATTTACCATCTTATAACGAATTCAACGAATCGTAACTAAAAAGTATAAAATAAAAATAAATAATTTAAAGAAAAACAAAAACCCACGAATGCGTGAAAACGAATTTTAAAAATACATGAAAAAATTAACTTAAATAAAAACTAAAAAGAAAGAAACAACCCCAGTAGTTTAGAATTCTGTTAAGTAATACTAAATACCTACAAAATTAAAATAGTTTTATAATCGATACACACATAAAACAAATCATACATTCTAATGCAGAACAGGGCTGCGACCGCCTTACTCATGGACGTAGCCGTAGAGCTATAACCTACGCTTTACCGTTATTCTTATTAATCTATTTATATTCTTTTAAAATTGTTTTTCTTTTCGAAATAGCATTGTTTGTATCAATTCGACATTTTGTAAATTTCGTTTAACTTTTATAATTCAGCAAACAAAAACAAGTAAAAGCATTGATTAAACATGTAAATAATAAAAAATGATTAATTTTAAAACAATATCAACATATTCATGTGTGAAACCTATAAAGCGTAGGTTATAGCTACGACTACGGCTACGTCCATGAGTTAGGCGGTCGCACCCCAGAACGACTCACAGTCGGGGCCCATTCAAATCTTCCCAAGGCAATATTTTAATAATAACTTATAAAATACTACGTAGTTATTATTTATCAATAAATTACCTATATATTTTCTATAATTTATTGTGATATCTGTCATGTAGCCAGTCGTATGAGTTTAAAAACTGCCGTTTTCAGATTGGCCACGATTACGGCTACTTCACTATGGTGACAGACTTGCCCAAGTACATGACTGGTGTGTTGAAGTTCGACATCCACCGCACGGGTACATTAGCAGCATTACCTTATGCTGTCATGTGGGTCAGCTCCATCATCTTCGGCTGGATGTGCGATAAGATTGTGAAGAAGAACTGGATGACAGTCACCAACGCTAGGAAAACTTTCACCACTATCGGTAAGACTTTAAGACTTTATAAAAAAAAAACTGAGTATAAAAGTTCCGTAACTTTGAATATATAAGAATAAAAGTAACGTTCTTAACGTTATTACTTCTCTAGTATTCTTAAAATATATTTTGATGCAATGTTTTTACAAGAAAATATATTAGTTGGATCTATCACACAATTAGTATTAGAAACTACAATCCTTAGCACCCAAACTCATCCAAGTAACGTAAATTTTTAGTATTGTAAAAAGAGCTATCTCTATACGGAAGCAGTTGGCGCTGGGAAACAACAAATGTCATTTCAGCAGAGCGATTCTGTAAAAATTCGAACCCGAATTCAAATTCACTCATGTATCCGAATTCACGTCTAAATGACTTCGAAAATCTATTGATTCCATTTTCGTATAAAAATACAAAACAAGATTAATTGATTGATGCATATGTATCTCATTGTCAGTTGCACAAACGTTCATTAAGGTTTAATGACGCCTTTAACCTCTAATGAATGTCAAATTTGTATAGGTAATGTCGCTTTAAACTAATGACAATTTTAATGGACGTTCGTGCAACTGGTTGTCAGATATTCTAAACCTATGTCATTCCGACACTCACTTCAATTATGTCATGAAACGTTATTACCAAATTAAGGGTTGAGCGAATGCCGCCTTTGAACTGAATTCTGACACCTGAGTGAATTCCAATTCTGGTTCGGATTTTTACAGAATTGCAGGGCTGATCGATACTAATTAATCGTTATGCACTATGCACTGTATAATTTTTTGCGATACTTTATGGTATGTATAGTTAAATACTTCATATACAGTATTATAAACGACTAAAACATAAACACCGATAGTTCAGAACGGTCTATCGGTGTTTATGTTGCAGTGGTCACCTCGAAGTCGAAAGACTACAAAAAAATATTTAGCATTTTGAACTTCTTCTCTAAATAAACTTATAACTGTCCCAATTGTCTTCATCGACCGCTCGATTTCCGAAAAGATACCAGTTTTAGCTTCGCCTATTAAGTATATTTATTTTGATAAACAAATGGATTCCTATTTTTTTAAATGTTAAATAAGAGATAATAAATTTCCACCCTGAAACTATGCGTATTGAATATAACGTGTATCCATTTCAGCATCCGTTGGACCAGGCATTTGTATGATCCTGGCATCGTACTCTGGTTGTAATACAGATTCTGTTGTCATTCTGTTTACCACATCCATGGGGTTGATGGGTGCTTTCTACCCCGGTATGAAGGTCAACGCTTTGGACTTGAGTGGGAATTTCGCGGGAACAATCATGGCCATCGTGAACGGAATAGGAGCTATAACTGGAATTATAGCGCCCTTTTTAGTAGGATTGCTAACCCCTGATGTGAGTATTGTGTTATTGGTAAATAATTATTACGGTTCATTCTTGGTTTAATATTACACTTTATATTCATTTATTCATTGTATTGTAGTAATTGTATTTAGTATCTGAGTCATACATGATCTACCTATGGGCTAATTTTCTAAATCAAAATCTATCACAATTTCTTTGCAAGCTTATAACGATTTACGGAATTATGTAGCTTTTAAAGAAGCAATCGCTTTTGGAAGGAATGATGATTTGAATGATCAAGTAACTTATCAAATTAACTTATCCAAGTAAATCTTTCTAAACAACGTCGCGATCGCAAGCGCTAGCCCATGTCAAATAGTTGTAGCGCAAAGTTAGTGAATATCTTTCAAATGGACAGTGATTATATTAGATTTTAAAATTAAACAATTAGCCCCCAGGCGCCTAAAAGGAAAATACCTTTTTATATTGTCTCGAGTATGGATTTTACAGCCGCCAGGTTAAACATATAAATCTCAAAATTTCTATACTTTATTTTATATCTTGAGGTGAGAGTGGAAGCCAAAGTCAAACGAGAAAATTTGATAGATTGTGGTAACTTAATATGCTACAGTGTCATTTCTGATAACATAGAAGATGCAACTTTTAATTTACGCACGACAGCACATCATATTATCACAAAAAAAAACGATTTTGAACTTAATTGTCTACAGATCAAGATTTGAAATTGAGCGGAAAAGCCATTTTTGTATAATCTGAAGAGTTTTCGTCTATACTTATACAGTGTTGCCAAATAGTTATGGTTTTGTATTTTTTACAGAGTACATTAGTGCAATGGAGACTGGTCTTTTGGATAGCACTAGCAGTCTTCATAGTGACCAACTTAGTATTCGTTGCATGGGCATCGGGCGACGAACAATGGTGGAATAACACAACTGAAGACCCTAAGAAACAGCAAGAAGTAGAAGCTAATAGATCAGTCAACGCCGAAGTTAAATTGTAAAGCCACCAAAAGCAATATGAACCACGGTTTCGTACAAACACATACTTCATACAAACGAATGAGTTGTGGTATAGGGTTAGTGCTTACGCTTTAAATAATGTGAACGCGTATTGCAAAACATACTATGAGAGTATGCTACCGGACTAGACAAAAAAAATATATATACATCATAGAGACGTGCAGAACCTTCGACTTAGTTAATCGGGTTATGTTACGTTAGATTAGATACTAAAGTTTGAAGCGCTAAAACCTGTTCAAAAGCCTCTATTAATAAGCTTGTATCTAGTGGCGGATTAGGGAGGGGGCCGGAGGGGGCGGTACGACCCGGGCGTCCGATTCTGAGGGGCCTCCAAATGGCTGCAAAGTTCTTTGATCAGGCCCCCAATGGGGATAGTTCGCCGCTGCTCGTATCTACATACAATACTCGGCATGTGAATGGAGAAGATAACTGTCAAAATGACATTGCTATATCATCTACCTTGATCCCACAAGACATAAAACAAGAAAAGAAAGAAAATAACAGTCTCGGCTCTTAGTCGGTAAAACAGTTTCTTCAACGCCATCTCGTAGTTTTAAGAAGTATTAGGTAGAGTAGTAAAACTAAAGCGTGTCGTTGATGTTTAGGGACCATTTTTAGTAGCCGAGCCAATCCATTAAGTAAGTCCAGTAAAATTAGAAACCGTAATATTTCATTCTGAACCGACTAAATTAACTGTCTCAGCTGTTAGCCTCGTGTAAACGGACCATTATGGTTCTTTTTTGTGCTTTTGACTAAGCTTTATGAATAACAATAATATTTATTTGCGAAAATATGGTTACAAGGTAGTTTTACAATTTTAGACCAGCAGGCAGAAGCTACAACAACGCCATCTGCGATTAGTTTGACCGGCCATTCCCATTGAGTTATTTCAATCAGGAGTATATTTGTAGTTTCAGTGAAAAAAAAAATACTCAGTCAATCTCTAATTTGTAGTCAACAGCACGTCAAGTTATATAGAAGTTTCAAATATCCTCACTCGAATTTAACCCTTAATGCGTTGATGGTAGAGGTAAAAATTCCTTGTAGGAATTTGACATATTGTAGTAACCTGATCTATAGACGTGTGTACATAATACTCGAAATATATACGGGGAGGCGAAACGAGCAAGCTGTCAAAATATGAGAGGGACAATGTATTAGCAAATATTAATGATTGATTGAATGAATGAGTAGTTTGGTACTACTCCGCGCTTCGAAAGGCACGCTAAAACGTTGGTCCCGGCTACGTTGCACTTATACTCTCTAAATCACATTGGGCCAGCGTAGAGGGTCATGGTCCATCATAATTAATCATCCATAAGGAAGGTTCGAGTTTCTGCAGTAAAAAGTTAAAGGGCTGATGATGAATGATTGATCGACAAAGAACGTTTTACTTTCTCGGTCTAAGATAAAAACAAAGTCGCTAAAATACAAATAAATTGCTGAGAAAACAAAGCAAAGTATCAGATATAGTGAAGCAAATAGCGAAACTAAAGTGGCAATGCTAAGTGCGATTCGTGAAGCAAAGATCTACTGGAATTGAGACCGTTGGCAGACCGCAGATAAGATGGAAGGTTGACATTTCAGAGGTGGCGGGACAAAATTGGATTCAAATAGACCAAAATAGGAAAAAGTGGAGAGGATTGAAGGAGGCATACATCAAACTGTTTGAAGAAGGCTTGAGATGATGATGATGAAAGTACACCGGCGCTTCAGGACATACTTAATGTACAAGACAAAATCAGTGCTGTACTTTTGAAGTGAAGCTCTAAATACGAGCTTATTGTACAACTGCATTAAAATTAGTACAAAAATTAAAGTATCTGTTTAGTTTCGAATATTGACTATTGAATCCACATCCAGTGCTTTGTGATAATCTCAAGAGACATGAAGGTTAGTTTAGATATGTATTTATTTGTATATTTATTGTACGTAAATATAGTGAAATTTAAGTTAGTTTAGCAATACGAATTCTATTTCCTTATAGTTATATAGAATGTCGACTGTAAAATATAAATAAGATTATATTTTAAAAGTATTGCTCGTTGAAGAGTGTGTCTGTGCGTTTTAGTTTGTTGCCAATAGCAGTTTAAAAGCTGACGTTCACATTGTTAATTAAACATTGAAATGAAACAAAAAAGGCTGTGAGCAGTTCTATTGTATTTATTAATATTTTTGAAAATATTATTTTTACTTAATTTCAAAGTGCACTTGTTACATTTGAAAAATATGTTTGTGTTTAGGTGAGACATTATGGATGGGTAAAAAAAATATTTAGTCCCTCTCATAGAAAAATCAATTTAACAAGAAATTGCTTAGATAACAGGCATTAAAGTTGAGAAGTGGGGGCTCGCTACGTCACAGCTTTGTAGAAAATGTACATACAAAAGCGTAACGTCATGTGACATTATAACTCAATGTAATTTATTGATTAAGCACAAATAAAAAAAAATACGAGTTTAATATTTTTTCAATTATTTACTGGGCAGACATAAAAAATAGTCATCATTCGTGTTATATTGATTTTTCGAAAAAATATTTATATAAAGTACCATTAGCTTACTGCAAAAGGTCGAAATTCCACAATTTTTTATTAAATTCAACTGTATATATTTATGAAGGTATAAAATTGATTGTAGAAATTTGAACTTCTGCAGTAATCTGCAGTACTGCCAACTGTAAATTAATATTTAAATACATAATTTTTTTATAGCCTTTTATTCTAAGTATCTGAAGAGCTATCTTGTCTATGTATAATCTGTCACTGTTACATGTACAGTACTATTCACTGAAATCGAATTCCATATCAAAAATTGTTGTTGTATCTGTTAATTTGACTTTGAACCATAATTATTATAACAGCGTTTCGTCACCAAAATATGAGTCTATAATATTGTAGTGGTAACTATTTTGTTTACACTTTCGATCTCGAATTCTATTTCAGATTATATTATTTTTATAAGTAGCACCAGCGAAATTCGTCTGCGCAGAAGATAATTAACTATAACCGATGTTAATAGTCTTTAATGTGAAACGTTAAGATCCAATTAGTAAGACAACTCGCGTTTAACGAAATATTATACATGGCGCGCGCGCATCAACCAATAGCAAACTCGCGCGCAAACATGGAATGTTACGATTGGCTGAAATTCTGCGTAGGTACTACATACATAAGGCATGACTACTGTAAGTCGAATTTACATTACGAAACTAAAGGCGTGAAAATAGTTTCATTACATTAATTTTATTAGCAGTTTCACGTGTAAATAGCCAGTTTCAAAGTGTTTGCATTTCGTGCCATACATTGTTCAAGCTAGGACTTACGATGTTTTTTTAACGGGGCAGAAACTTTATATGGTGTATCTCTGGTTTCGTATGTAAATTCGGATAAACACATTTATGACGTACTATTTTGTGAAGAAACAAAAACAAATCGTCAGTTTTTCATAAACTACATACGCATACAGGAATTACAAGTACAATACAATTAGATGGCTATGACAATTATATTACAATATTTTTTTGTAGATAAATAGATTATAATAACAAATTTTATACAAAAATCATCTGTACTTTGTTAATTAAAAATTATTTTAATAAATCCTCTTTATTTTAATAAACAAAAACCAAATAAAATATACAAAACAAACATAAAAAAGATGTAAAATAAATTAATTCAACACCAACATTTTTACGTAATACATTCATTCAAAATTGGGTCTAAATAATATTATGTCCTTATAAAGGAGGAGGCCTTATCTCCATATTAGAACTTTTATTTAGATCGAGTATCAATTTTTTTTTTCATTCGTTTTTGAGCACTATTTGTCACGATACAAAGTAGACTAGGCAGACTATATTATGACATCACAGACGCTAAAGGGCGAGGTTGTGTATATGGATTTTGTAAAAAATAATAAATCTTAAAAAAATACATAAAACCCACGAATATGATACTACCCGCTATGAATACCGTTGCAGAGCTGTCTCTCCACTTTCTTCGTGGATTAAAACCGTTAAAAGTAAAACTGTCACTATGGTTGTTGTTATATTCAGTAATGGGACTTATTAAAAATGCGAGAAGTTATTTGAAGTAATTTGTGTACTAATTATTGGTTTTAATTCTATGCGAGGATTTAGGTTCTGAGGTGACATTATTATATTATTACAGTAACAAAGCAGTCAGTGATAATATAAAATAGACAGTAGACTGTAGATTCACATCATAAAGTTAATCTGATGTCATATAATTGACATGTTGTTAATTTAATTTCGAGTTTTAATAATTCAAGACGATTTCATTATGCTTTTAATAAATTTGGTCTTAATAGTTCCACAGAATAGTTAATTTATTCCCATGTAGTTTATCACCAATAGGTTAGAAATCACTAATCTATAACAATGACCATAAAAGAAACCTGTTGAAGAAAGAAAACAATTAATTTTTGTTCTATATTTATACAAAAAATAAAATAATTAATTACACTATAAAAAAATAGATCCCATCAAATATAAAAGTCATTCTTTTCGATTTTGAAGTCTGTTAAAAAAAACGTTTCATGAAACCATAGAAGACCCAGTCTACTTTATAGAGCAATTCAGCACCAAAAAGAAAAACTAACCTCAAACTTAGAAGCCTCCCCCTTCGAAACTTCAGAATAACTCCATCACAGATGTAGGCGAGTTGGAGTCACTCAGATCCGTTCGTTGATTCAGTATTTGTAACGCTTCGTTAGGCTGAATGTGTCTGATCCCTTGGCCGGTTAGTTGTTCCGCGCTAGCTGACGTCCTTTTTGCGAGGGAAGCGCGTAATCTCCTTGCGTCGTCGTAATCCATGTTGAGTAACTTGCAAGCTTCTAAAAGCCTGTGTAATAAAAAAAAGGAAAATCGGGTTATTTTTACAGGACTGCCGAAAAAAGAAGTGTGTTTAGGGTTGATAAAACACGATTTTAATTTTATCTACGCTTATATAAAAGAGCACGAGACCACTCGCCAAAACGTTGGTCCGATCAAGTGAAAGAGGGCATCCATCTCTTTTACCAAATAACACCAAGCAGTAATAGCAGCTATAGACAAGGACAAGTGGAGGAAAATAATGCTGTCCTTTGTATCCTACGACCACGATATTCAATAATGTAGAACCGATGATTAGCGTAAGAGGGAGAGAGAGAGAGAGAGAGAGAGAAGTTGTATTTCTCTGTCTCTCTCTCTCTCTCTCTCTGGTTGGTGAGTTTCATTATTCCACCATAATTTTTAAAAGACTTGATAAAAATTTAATATGGCGGATGTGGGACGCCAATAAAAAAAATATAAAATACAATTTTTTCAATATGTGGGTATCAATTTAAAGGTCTTGAGTACGAATATGTGGAGATAAAAGTTCAGCATACGCGCATAACTAAAGTACTGAGTTATTAAAATACCACGCCGCGGCCCGCGATCGTTGTCGTTAAACAACTTTCGCAAGGGTCAATACTCTCCAATGTACATTGGGCCAGTGTGGAAGGTCATGACCCATCCTCCTTAACCATCCATAAGGCCTGAGCCCCTGAGTCCCTGCAGTGGAGAAGCAAAAGGGAAAACCACAAAAAACCATTATTCTTACTTTGGCAGTTGGTTAACTTGAGATGCAATTTTATTCGGGGGCGCAAATGCAGGGACTAGATTCCTTTTGACATCATGCGTAAACTGCATAGTTCCACCAGTGTTGAACCAACTTTCTAAAACAACCTCCTGTGAAAAACATGAATAAAAACATCTATTATTAGGATAATTATTTCAAGGTACAGTTTAAAATTTTCTAGAAGTGTCACAAATTAAATCAATGTTTGAAACTCTATACACTCTCAAATAATTAAATATTGAGACCCGAGACATCTATATTATAATAATGTAGTTAGTCTAAGTAGCAAATATATCGAAAAAGGCTTATTGCTTTCGGAAAAGTTCAATTGGTACATTTTTTTTTTTTTGTAGTTGATAGTAAGATTGTAGTAGTAGATAATTAGATAGTTTCGGTATTGAAAAACAAGCACGAAATTTAAAATTTATATCTTAATAAACATAGATATTCTGATTTTGAGTCTAAGAATCGCACGATTATCTTATTTTCTTAAAATTAAAAGTAAAGAATCACGACCCTCCATTGTGTGACGTCACTATGACAATCGCTGTCAAATCCTATTAATATTATAAATGTGAAAGTTTCTTTGTTTGGATGTTTGTCTGTCAATCACGCCGGTACTAATGAACGGATTTTGATGAAATTTGGTACACAAATAGGGTAGTAGCTGACTTAGATAATAGGATACTTTTTATCCCACTAAACATTTTGCTAGGGTCCACGCGGGCGAAGCCGCTAGTTGATTAATTTCGCATTCACAATGATGTACTGAAAATTACTCTTAATACAACAAACATGCTTAAAAATCCACTTGGCTCTGTAGTAGCGAAAAGTGACAAGTACTTGAAAGATTCGTCAGTCCTGTTAGGTCCTGAGTAGCTGAGTGGTTAGAGCAGTCGCCCGGATTGAGAAAGGTCGTGGATTCGAATCCCATCTCAGGGTGCCAGGGACCAAGTGGATTTTTAAGTATTTTGTATTAAGAATAATTTACAGCTAGTCGTGTTATAAGCATGTGGTAGTTGTAAATGGTACATTTTCATTTAACCTCACCTCAAAAATGTACTGGTCTACTTCGTTGGCTAAATGAGCACGAAGTCGTGAAGTCAACGCTGGTGCCAATTTACACGCAGCTGAAGTCAAACGTGCACAGAGTGAAGATAGCGGCCGGCAGAGAGGGACAGATACACTCAACGCCATCTCCTCCACCATCAGCAATGCATGCCATCTATTAAGCATCAAACGGAATTATGAAGACGTCTAAAAAAACTAAATTTCATTTGGTTTCGTACAAAGAAATAATGATTTTGTGACAGAAACCGTCAATTTATAAATTTTGTCTATAGAAAAAAGCTACAAAGTTACCTCTGATATTCTCTATTTCGTTTCGTTTTTTTCTATTTCTACTCATTTCGACAAAGAATCGTAATAGTTCAGAAATCAATCATGTACAACATATGTCATAAAATATGGGTATCACATATTTACTGTATGACATTGTGCAATAGTTTTAGTATGAAAAAAATTATTACTTTTGATTTATAATTAATTTACATTATAACCGTTTCATGAATTAACCTTATTATTATTTTATTAGCACATCACCGAGTTCCAACATATGATACAGTTCCTATTACATATTAATTTAGATTTAATTAATTATATCGAAATTATTTCTGACGCTTAATACACTATATGTACAACATTATATGTATATATGTATAACCATCTAATTGCCAGATGCATCGATTTCATTTCGTTTTCCGATTTGCCTTGACGCCTAGCCTTGCCAAGGCAACAACAACGAAATCAAAACATTAACTTTAACACAAACAGAGAGAAAAAATCATTGACCTATGGGCAATATCTTTTTATTTATCTTTTAATTTTATGATTATATAAATTTGTATAACTGTTCGTTCCTGTAGAAATAACTAAAAAAAAAAAAAAACAATTCACGCTTAAAGACGCTTAAAGAATTGATACCAAAAAAAAATCATAAGGACAACTTTCGTGTCCGTCAAAACAATATTAGAACAATCTAGAAAATATTTATCATAAAAAGAATAATAATGAAAATCACTTCACTCACTTCTGTTTCTTATAATCTCTTAATCCAGCTTTGAACTCGAGCAATATATGTTCGGTCAGAGCGGCTAAACCAGCATCTCTCAAATGTGCCAACAATGCAGGTGCTTCAGCAAACACGCCCGCTTCTTCAGCATCAGTATCGCCAGACAGAGGCTCCGTTACCGCTAAATTAGCTATAGGTGACGTCTACAATGATATAGTACAAAAATCATTATACACTTAAGGCGAGGTTGTACGTGATTACCACTTTTGTAAACAAATTTTATTTTAAAGCTATGGTAATACTTGCCAAACAAAAATAATTTTATGAAAATTAAACGTATAATGAATTGCTTGCTAAAATCAGAAACATACATTTCAGCAAATAAAAATCGCAAAGATGACTCTAAATAGGTTTTTTGGATAGATTTTTTCGTCTTAACTAATATTTTTCATCTTAACTATGTAGAAAATTTATACAAAAATGAGTTTTGATATTATCTGTAATAAACAAAACATTTTTTTTTATAACTGCATTTGTGTTTTTCTGTCTTTACGACTTTATTCTGTTTACTTAGATGTATGTAAAGGCTTAAAAAATCCACCAGCCATGTACCCCGAGATGGGATTCAAACCCACCACCTTTCGCATTCCGGGTGACTGCTCTAACCAATGAGCTACCCGAGACGAGGTGTTGCTGTAACTCAATTTTATGAATTTACTTTTATTATTTCATCTTTACTTTCTAATAATCTTTTGGAGTTGGGAGGAAACACTTACAATATCAAATTGGGACATTTCATTCACAGTCATGGAGTTTTGCCTGGATATGTCATTCAAGGCTAATTTTTTCGCACGAAGCTCTACTTCTTTTAGCGACATCGTTTCATCAGTTTCTCCTTCTGAAATAAAAATATAATATCACCATGCTATGTATGTTCCACGAATCCTAAGCATTGTTTCTTAAGGATTGAATATATGACTTTCATAAGTTTCTAATCAAATTTGGCTCCTCCCCCTAGCCCACGAGTCTAAAACCACATGTCACTGTTCCGTTGCAATGTTACAGTTCTGAAGTCTATTAAAAAAAACATTTTACTATTTAATTTAAGTAATAAGAATAATTTTAGTACCCTAACTATAATGCGATTAGGAAATACGACTTTTACGTTACTTCGTTCAATGACGCCTTTAAGCTCTAGTGGATGTCGAATTTGTATGGGTAATGTTGCTTTAAACTAATGCGATATGAACGATTAATAACTATACCTAGTTGATATTTGTCTCATCATCATCATCAGCCCTGTTACGTCCCCACTGCAGGGGTTTAGGCCGTCTTTATGGATGGTTAAAGGATAGGCTGTGACCCTCCACGCTGGCCCAATGCGGATTGGAGGGTAATGGTGGGTGTTTACGACTGCAAATGCAGCCGAGACCAACGGCTTAACGTGCCTTCCGAAGCACGGAGTAGCTCGAGATAATAATTTTTTGATCACCCATCCCGTGACCGACCCCTGCGAAAGTTGCTTAACGACAACGATCGCGGGCCGCGGCGCTTATCCACTACGCCACCGAGCTACTCGCCTCAGTCACTTCATTATTAGAAGACTAACTGACCTGACAAACGTTGCCCTGTCTTAATTATGAATTTTTAATTCGAATTGGTTTCATTAATAAAAAAAAAAAAAAATGTTTATTATTCTAATGCTTTATGTTATACAACATTCTTTGTTGTTTTTACATCCTATTTGACGATATTTGCTGCACGTATTCTATCAATTCTATATCAAATGTAATAAGATAACATTTAAAAAAATTGTATTATACAAAGCATATTCTCAAATTTTCCACTATTTTCGTATTTTTTTCTTTCTTAAGAACCTTCTCCTGACAATAACAAACACAACAAAAAATAATTATAGATACGGTCCAGCCGTTCACGTGTGATGGCGTAACCAAGGGAAATAAGGATTAATTCTTATATATGTATATAAATTAGATAAAGCTCTCATTAACCAGCAATAACTTTGATTCAAATACTTTGTTATTCTAGTTAAAAAAAAAATTGTAATTAACTATTTCTAATATAAACGATTTTTTCTTTCCGTCTCTTTAAAAACTCAGAAACTTAGTCAATTGTATATTTTCTTTCGTTGTCAAAAGGTTTTCGACCCCTGCCCTAGCCAAAGATTATTACCGTTTACCGTCGCCTTTAAGGTTACACAATAAAGTGGAATTTCCAATGCAATCAACCTTTTCTACTAGTTTCCTCTTCTGTTCCGTCCTCATCATCATCTGACGAGCTGGTGGTAGTCTCTGTATCATCGTCGCGGTGCTGTTGCTGTGTGAAATGTTGGAACTGTCGCCGGTAGTAATGCAGTTGCAGATAATGCTGACAAATAAAAGATGATTGATCGAGTTCAATTTTGAACAGATAATAGGGAATATGCACATTTTTGGAAAATGTTTTTGTATGATAATTTACATCGATATATTACTGCAAAAAAATACCCGGCATCGAAAAACTAACAATTTTAATATTAATAATAGATGAAAATATATAATAGCTACGAGCAGTTTAACACCGGAATTTATGGCGCGCTCGTCGTGACGTCAAAGTACACAACTAGAGCTATGACATTTTAAATCAATATGGATTTTGAGTGATTGATTATTATTCAATTACCCAAATCGATTAACAACTAATCTATTTTTTAAAGTATAATATATATTTTTAATAAATCATATAATTTACCAAATATGTGAAATAAAAATAAAAGCCTAAAAATCATTTAAATTGTAATCTGTTGTTTATTTTGCGACATAATACATTGATGTTATTGCATTGATGTTATTGCATCGATGTTAACTTTTTGTAACAACGACATCCCTATACGTGTACATTTTCGTCACATCCGCTCTGACAAGTAGCATGGCGTTTAAATATTTTAAAGTTACTGCATTAATTTGACACTTTTTAATAATTATTTTCAAGACGAAAACGAACTGATGTTGAAAAATATTTAGATAGACTTTATTCTAAAGCAATAACGATCGTAATAAAATATATTTAACCCCTTTTTGAATCAGACGCATATTCTCTATTATAGTATTACCTATCCTAAGGCTATGTTATCTCGGGTGCTGCTAAACTATACTAACTTCATTATACTGTTTTTTTATTAAAATGGTTCGCTGTCAGATTTAACAGATACAATTAGAATTTAGAATACGAACATTACATAACAGAAGTAGCACAGAACACAAACATTATATTGCTCTAGTAACTATGAAAGTGACAGAGTTATGACGTCACGTTTCATGAGCGATGTTTCAGATCACGGGATTTCATTAAAAAGAATTATTTTAAAAGGTAAAATATAATTACATCCTATACAGTTTTTAAAAAATATGATTATTATGTATTGAAACCCTATAGACAAATCATAACATCCTTTTGTTACTGCATTCCAAGACCCTTTATGGTGCAGTAAAATTTCCGTTAAAATAAGTTTTCTCTTTTTAATGTAACAAACAAATGAATATACAATATACATTTGTAAATATTTATGAATAATATCTATATTCAATCTATCACATTATTATTGTGGTAAAATTTGTCTAATAAATAACACTTACCAAAGAATGAGCCCATTGTAACAGTATCGTCCTTGTATGGTGTGCAGCGTTGATGACAGCGGTGAGCGGGTGCGGACTGGAATCCGCTACTAGGAATGTCTCAGCTAATAAGGTGCTCACAGCAGCATTTAACAGTTGCGTTAGACGCACACGCCACTCTTCAATTAATTCTAATTGTAGTTCCAGAAACTGGAGACTGTAGAAGAATTAAAACTGGGTTTCATACGCCACATATTCATCAACATTATCATCATCGTCATCACCTTTTACGTCCCCACTGCAGAGGCTCAGGCCTTTCTTATGGAAGATTAAGGAGGATGGGCAATGCCCAGCGACGCTGACCCGATGCGAATTGGAGGGTATTAACGACTACTAGCTACTAGCTTGGATCAAAGGCTTAATGTGCCATCCGAAGCACGGAATGCTCGTGCTCGAGATAATATTTTTTTGGTCACCCATCCCGTGAACGATCCTTGCGAATGTTGCTTACGACAACAATCGCGCATCGCGGCGCTAATTCAATAACACCACCGAGCTACTCGATACATATTAATTGGTACAAATTATAAGAAGACCAATTTACTATAACCAAAACAAGATAATTACTAAATTTGTAACTGCCTATAAAAGTAGGTTCTCACAAATTACGTATAGAGAAATCTTGTGAATGTTTATATATCGTATCTTTTTTTCAATATGTTCATTTTTCTTTGTTTGAAGTGTCATTAACATCATTAAAAAAGTATTAATGGGAACTTTACCGATGTCCAGGTTGCGGCAAAGTGGCATATCTATCTTCAATAGTCTTCAACAATGCTATGAACCAATCTGCACCCCTAGGGACCCATACTACGGAACCCACGGCTGCTCCTACGCCCGCCGCGACCGCCTCACTCCATTGCTCGCTGCCGAGGGTCTCATCCATTTTCGTAAGTGCATCTATATTAAACTACCTTATAACTTTTTGTTTATATTAAATAATCCATCCACATGTTATCGTCATCGCCAGCCTATTATTGGGCTCAGGCCTTCTCTATGTATTGGAAGAATGGGCCAACTCGGGACCAGTGCATGTTGGTGGGTGTTCACGACTGCATGTACAGCCGTAACCAACTTGCTTAACGTGCCTTCCGAAGGACTTAAAGAGCTTGTTATAACAAATTTTTGGTTACCCATCCTATGACCTGCCTTTGCGAAAGTTGCTTAAAAACTGTATCGCAAATCGAGCACACTAATCACTGAGCCATTGAATCGTCCTACAAAAGGTAAGTACTCTAAACCGATGTCTATTGTTGTATGCTAGCATAATAAACTTAAGGATAAAAAATCATGCATATTTCTTATTGCGGAGTTTCTTGGTGTGTGTTCCGTGGTACACTAGGGCACTACAAAGTTTCTGTTGCAGTCCACGAAAATATCAGCCATATTTCAGTAAATGGTCGGATTTAAAGTAAAATGTGTATGCACGTACCTAATTTATTATTTGAAGCAGGGCCTTATTATCAATTAAACTACAATACTGATCCCTGATAAGTTTCAAAAGGGTTCCATCTCAATTAAAGCTTGAAACCGCTGTCCTAACATAACAAAACGTACCATTAAAAAAAATGCTCATACATACATTTCTTTTCAACTGCTAACCACCGTACAAATATCTCTGCTTTAGTCAACACTGACAGAACACTATTTGTTTCTTTCCCAGTAATTGTCATCAACTCTCTGTGGAAGCCTAGTGTTTCGTCGACAGCATGCGCAAACGCAGCATCCGTGTCCACTATCTCGCCCTTAGAACCTTGAGTTTGGTACAGTCCTAAAACTGTATGAAGCCTCTCTGCTGCTAGTGTGATTATACCAGCATTAAATTCATCCTGAAAATTATACAAGCTTATCATACATTAGAGTTATAATCTGTCTTTCATTATTGAGCACCTTAGGGGGTTTATTGTCTAATTTAAAAATCTAGCTCAATCCCTTTCAATTTGACATTTGAAAGATATTTCTGAACTTCAGGCTACGACTATTTGTCACGTGACAGTTTTTTAAAAGATTTGAAAGACGATTTGGAATTGTCTAAGGCAAGTTAGACGAAAAAGTTTTTGAAAACTATTGAGAATTGTATAATGAAAGAGTTGAATGCTATTTACAAGCTTTCGATGGGTTTGACGTGTTTCTTAATAATTTAAATATTTCAAATCATTATTAATTTAATAAGTAATTCTGACTATGATAGTTAATTAAATCCTTAAATCGTTACACATTTCAAAGGAATTGCCATATATTTTTTTATATATAGGAATTGACAATTAACCAGATCTAATCATTATGTTTTTAGATATTATAAATTATAAAAAGATCAGTAACACTAGATTTCTTGTTTATAATTGCAGTTTCATTTGTACTATGTACCGTTAGTACTACTTCAACTTCCTATTTTTTTATTTCATTTTTGTGCATTTGAATTTAAAAATTAACACTTACAACTGCTCTAACATTCTTCAATTCCAATTTATTTGCCACCGGCTGTACGTGAGTCTTCACAAATGTCTGGTGATCCTTTATCCAAGTAAGGGTCTGTGTAAGAAACCACTCTGGTCTGTCGATGCGTGCAGTCTGTCGCGATCCCGTAAAATGGAATGTAAACCTCTTCTTTAACGGCTTAAGTAGAATACGTACCGGCAAACATGGGTCTTGCTCTGTTAATACAATGGTTAAACTTTTGAATTAAATTTATCAATTTTGATAACTTATACCTTAACTGTTTTGCTATTCCCTTGTAGGTTCAAGTATCGTGATATTATTTTTTTATGTAGTGTTTGAAATAGTAATTGTAAGTAATGCACAGAGTAGTAGAACAAAAAATTTCAATAAAACAAGAACAGTGCCATCTAAATAAAAAGATTACGAAGTCGATTACGAAATAAAAAGTGAAATCCATCTAAGAATTTGACCTATAATTTATAGTCGTTGTTTACGACTAATTTCATGGCTGTCGCCAGAGTGATGTCACACTATGGCGGGTCGTGTTTCACTACCTTATTTTGTCTCAATAACACCCAAGTGACGTCATATGGAAATAGAAAGTATAGATAGCGCAAAAGCAAGAGATAAATTATTTATTAATTATTCAAAATATTATTGTAATAATCTAAAAACTTTTAGTTTGTTAATAGATTGCATGAATTTTTGAAAAAAAAACCATTTGTATATAAATATTGCGGTATATGGAAAATATAAAAAATATAACTTTTACTTAGTAATAACGCGATAACAAACGGGAAGGGCTTTTTTATAACAATATCAAGTGATAATGAAAGGAGAGATATATTTATTATTAGTGAATTTATGTTTACTTATTGTAAAAATCACAATTGCAGTTGCTACGTTAGTTAGCCATAACAACTAACAACAAAACTTAATAATAACAATCGAAACCAACAAAAACATAACTAAAATGATGTGTGATCTCAACACAACCCAACAAATGAATTTAACAAAGACAAATTTTATTAATTTTAATACTAATCTCACATCTAAATTAATTATCAAATATAAAAATTCAAAAATTAATGAAATAACGGAAACGAAATTTCTTGGCATAAATATTGATAAATATCTAAGTTGGAATAGTCATTTTGAAAATGTCTGTCACAGAATAAATAGGTTTGTTTATGTGCTAAAACGTCTCAGAAACATTACGAATAGAAATGTGGTGTTGTCAGTTTATCATGCGTACATTGTATCCATTATGCGGTATGGTCTCATTATATGGGGTAATAGTTCTAAGCTTGAAAGAGCTTTTATTGCACAAAAAAGTGCATAAGAGCAATAACTTATAAATCGCCACGGGATTCATGTAAACCATTATTTAGGGAGCTTGGTTTGTTGCCATTACCATCACTATATATTTATGAAGCATGTGTTTTCGTTAAGTCAAATCCTGATTTGTTTTGTACAGCAATCGAATTGTATACGCGAACTCGTAGGAATGTTAATAGACTTGTCTTGGATGAAATTCCTAAGTCGGCAAAATACAATAAGAATTCTCTATGCATGTGTGTAAGGATGTATAATAAATTGCCGATTGACATTAAACAATTAAGGGTAAAATTATTTAAGACAAAGTTGTTTAGATGGCTGAATGAGTATAATTTTTATAGTGTTAAGCAGTACTTGGACATCTAATAATGTTTATAATAATAATAATGGGTTTATGACATTTATATCAAAATTTATAATCTTTTAATAATTATTTTATTTTTATTGTATTGTAATTAATTAATATATTTGCATGCTAATGAGAATAGCGAAACATGTTGAACTGCCTATTTTTGTAAAACTTTAAATACCATGTTTGCTTAATAAGTGTGTGAACTCGTCGATCAATGTGTTAACGGTGCTGATTTTGAATGCAATTACGTCATCAAAATGGCGGCCTGGCGCATTCGCAATTTGCGGTGATTATACACCATTATAGATCGAATCTTATGGCAGGTAAATGAAATCAATGAAAATGAAGTAATTGTATAACATATATTATATGCTCAACCTCTTTTTTTTCTTTCCAGCACTTTATCTAGATATAGCATATAACATAATAATGAAAGGTTCTATATAAATCACCTTGCTCAAGATCCTGAGGAACCGATTCATTGGCTTGTCCTTCAATAAGAAAAAGATATCTTGTTAAATTACTAAACTTCGCAAGAATTTCTTTTGGAGGTGGGGAGTTTTCTTTGTTTGGTGTGAATGGCCACTTTAGCAGTTTTAAATAATCTTCATATTGCCTAAAATATGTTAAATAACTTTAATAACACAAAAATATATATTTGGCAATAAAGTTATAGAAAGAGTCAGTCTGTTGCTAATTCTAGATTTTTTCTGGCATTCTCTGGCATTTTATTCCAAGCATTGACCACTCTATTACTTAAGAAGTTATGTGTGTACTTATGTGGATTTTTGTGGGAACATGTTTTAGCAAGCTTCAAACTGTAAATAAATAGTATGCAAAAATATGCCACTGCTAAACGGATACAGCATATTTATTGTATTTTAATGACAGTGCAGTGGTTAAAGTGCACAGTCTGTGATATGGTTGTTAAGATAGGTGACCAACAATTAATTATCTCGAGCTCCTTAGTGCTTCAGAAGACACGTTAAGCCAATAGTCCCAGCTGTATCTGCAGTTGTTAACACCGGCGAGCTTGCATAATAGATCATGGCCCATTCTCATTATTCCATCTGTAGTTGAGGGCTTGGTCCCCAGCGATGGGGCCACTAATAAGCTAATGATGAATGATCTTGAAACACAAAAATGCTGTAACTACGTAAACAATCCATATCCACAAGCAATATAAAGTATAATTTGAAATAATTAATTACTTAGTAAATTTATCTTTAAGCACATTATGCCAATAATGAGTATATTCTGTGACATAAGCAGCCCGATGTATTGTTGTGTACGATTTACTCATGTCCTTAAGGTCTAGATACCATAGCACTAATTGTTCGTCATCATTACATTGCTTCATTTGATGGCTGAAATAAACAAATTACTAGAGTTAAATTATATGACAAACAAATTTACATAATACTAGCTGTTTCCATTCAATTTCGCCCATGTAAATTATAACAATAACAAACGCCTTATTGCAGTCAGAAAATACAGTTACATTACATAAAAACGATACATTAAGAAGAGAAGGAGTAAGCAAAAGGGGGCCTTACTGCTTAACAACAATCTCTTCCAGGCAACCTATGGTGAAACAAGAATATTTAACAATAGGGTTGCTGTTGTGGAGTGGATACATTATGAAACAATTTTTGAATAAATAGTATATTATTTTTCTATATTGCCTTGAGTATTATATCAATTAGTTTGTATGATACTAGGATTTGAAAACCAAGGATTTAGAATGTTGCTTATTATATTTTCCTTATACTGTTTTTAAAAAGCAGTCCAGTAGTTTTAAAGCTTATTAAATGCAAACAAACAATCAAATCTTTTCTGTTTACCAAATATAAGTACTTAAGTTCACAATAGTGTTTCATAACATTAAATTTAAATAAGTAAGAATACTCACCTAAGATCATCTACCTTTTCAAATGACTTGAGATAATCAAGAACATATTCTAGCTTATGTATAGCCTGAAACCTTTTGTCTAGCTCCAAGCATAATGGTTTTGTTCTTTCAAGGAAATTTTCAACCTTTGATTTCAGCACCATACTCTTTTCTTTGAAAGTTTCTATTTGTTTAGAATTCAATTCTGCTTTTGTTACAGCTGAAGATAGCTTTGTTGGGACCTCATCATTCACAACATTTAACTGAAATAAAACACCATTTTTTCAGATTTTAAATTCTTCAGTAATTATGACTGCTTTCAAAACAAAACTGTTGGAGCAATAGTGAATTCTTATGATAAAGAGGTTGCCAGTGGCTTGCCTAATATTTTTTATATAATATCAATTATAGACACTTATATCCACATTAGTATAAAATAGTGTATTAAAAATATTACTTTAACCTACCTTAAAATGAATTCTTAATAATGTTATACTTACGCTACTCTGAAGTTGATTCCTTCTGACTAATAAATCATTTTCAAGTTCATATGCATTGCTAAGATCATTGATATCTCCACCAATCTTAAGATTAAGGTCTTGGACAATTATTTTCTTTAGTTCTTCAGTCATTTTGTAAACAATTCTAAGTTAAAAAATTTAATACTAAACAGACTGCTATAAATAATTTCTATTCAAATATATGCTCTAATTCTTTTCTTCCTTATTGGTCATCTGGGATTGTCTTTGTAAGGATTTCCTATTATTTATTTTGAAAAAAGAAAAAGACTAATTATATAATTTATAGCTGAAAACTATATATTATAAATATTGTTAGTATCTATTGTAGGTATTGTTTGCAAGTTAATTTTAATATCGTTATTGAATGTGCTGTACCGGGCGACGTGTCTGCTAGGCTAACTTCGGCATTAGTTTATTTTGACGTTCACTTATTTATATATAAGACCTATCTCATTTTATCGGGAACAATCACTTTTCGAAAACTAAAAGTATTGAAGCCACTTCATCATATCAACTGAATTTGTTGATAAAAATCCAAAAACAAACAGTTTCAACGTTCGTATGATTTCGACCACAGAACTGTGCACAGAACCACCACAGACTTAGTAGGTATCAGAACCACAGAACAAAAACAGAACACTATTCCACAGACTTAGGGGCTGGCCACGAGTTTAGGCTAAGCGAATTGCGGCGCGTCATGCAGTGCGGCGGCGGCGAGCGGCGCGTTGACCATGCCACGTACACTTAGTAGCGTCTAGCGGCGGTAGCCCGGCGGATGTATTTAGAAATGGCTTTGTCTAAAGTGGCACTTCTTTGTCTCGAAAGTAGTTCATATTTAGGGCAAGATATTATTAATTTAAGAAAAGGAGTGCACCGTGTGAATAAAGCGTTTTATAAAGAATTCTGGAAAACACAGTTTTATTTCATCCCACAACCTTTTAATCACATTTTTATATTTAGTTGGGGATGTTTTGACATCCATATTGGCGGTCGATCTAATATTTTTGTAATAAACTCCTCTGTATTCATTTAAAAAAAAACGCTCTAAATTCGTATAAAGTAGTTTGTTCGCAAAACTGCGTCTCAAATACATCCACTCGCTGCCGCCGCCCGCGCCGCTATGTGTCGTGGCATCCCACTCGTTCACTCATACGTTTGTTCCCGCCGCTCCTAGACCCGCACGCCGCTGCCGCGATTCGCTCGAAGAATATCGCGCGCGTTTTCGCTACGAGCGGCGTTTCGTGGCATGCTTCGAACATTTTCATACTTTTGATTTTACCGCTGACCGCACCGCGCTAAGCTGCCGCTCTCAGCGGCAAGGTCGTGGCCAGCCACTTAGTAGGTAGGTGCGATTATTGTGATGCTAAGTCATATTGTGATCATGTACTGAGGTTATAATATTGTAATCTTTGGTTATGATTAGAGATTCGAATCCAGTTAGTGTTGAATGAGGTTATTTAAAAAAATAAACATTATTTCCCGAAATCAAACTAGGAGTCGCTACTACTTTTTCGATTTCTCCATGACAACTTTTCCGGTTTTCTTTTATGTATAAAAGTAAATTAATTTTCAAAACACAATAAACAACTCATATTCTATTTGTACTTTTACGTATTTGTATATTGATTATTTTAGGGCAATTTTTAAAGCAAAACAAAATCACCAATATAGAAAACGAGTTTTAGACGGTCATGCATCTTGGGTCCCTACCCAATCGGTTGTTTTAACATTCAAAGGACAAAATTTCCCAGAAAGAGTTTTTTCTTTTTATACCTCTATTCCTGTTATCGCATATCAACTCCCAAATATCATATGCAGCAATTGTTGCCGTTTTGGACATATTAAATCTCAGTGTCGATCTAAGCTGAGATGTTATCGCTGGGCGCAATCGCATATGGAGGAGAGTTGTAATATTACAGAGGACATTGCTTCGTGTTTATACTTTTTTGTTTATTTAGAAACTTATCATTTTCTGATTCTGTTTCGACTGATCACGTGATCAAAAGCACTGCGAGCACCTTACCTCGAAATCTCCAGTGCTCACAGTACAAATATGGCGGCAATTTATGACGTCATGAATTTCCCTAGGGTACTGTAGCAGTGTACTGGCAGTCCATAACGGAACGGAATTTTCAGCAGTAAGACCACTGCGCAGTGCTCGCAGTGTATATCGGAACATACCCTAGATAATATTTCTTTCCAAGAAGCTTTTGCTTTATAACCCATTGTAAGAAGACTGTACTCTAAATCAGTAAATTCTTCAACCACACCTTTTACTTTACCTCAAATTGTGCATTCTCAACTCTCATCTCTGACTTCTAGTTCTTATAAAAAGACTCGTCAACATTTTGCCCTGGGGAAGGAAGATGACAAGCAGGCTCACAGGACATAATTAGAAATTGTCCTCCTACTCTTCCTAATGGTTGTGCCCTTGGTAGTTTCAGTACTAATGATATGGTTCCGAATGATGATTGTCTTGATCTTCTATGGTTGCTTGTTGTAAATATTTTGTCGAAATTCACTGACGTACCATAATCGCCCAACGTAGCTCCGAAATTTTTAACTCTTTTAAATTTATTAACCAAAAATGGCTCCTCTGAATATAATTCAGTGGAACAACAATAGTCTTCGTTCTAAAAAACACGAAATCCAATATTTTATATATAACTAAATACTCTCCTCTTATTTTTGCCATTTCGGAGACGTGGCTTCTTAAGAATATTTCTTTCTATATTCCTGGATATCTATGTCTGCGTGATGACAGAGATGACGGTTATGCAGGAAGTGCTCTCATTATTAGTAACTCCCTGCTATTTACTCAAGTCCCACTTCCTGTTCATAATAGGGATCTAATTAATGCTGTTGCTGTTAGAATAAATAATATTTCTTTTATTTCGTTATATATCCCTCACCTTAATGTATCTGTTTTATTGGAACTCCAGATAATTATTTCTGCTTTACCACCGCCTGTGCTTATTTTGGGTGATTTCAATGCATCATGAGTCATGGGGCTCCGATACTTCATATGACTCCGATACCTTTGGCAGTTTAATAATTGATTTATTAGATGAACTGGATTTATGTGTTTTAAACAATGGTTGTCCTACAAGGAGAAGCTCCCCATCACAGAACCAGAGTGCAGAGATCCAGAGTTGACTTATCCATTTGGTCTTCGCATCTATTTTCTCTTTTTTTATGGTATGTTTTAAGTAGCACCTTTGGTAGTGAAGACTTTCCCATTCTTTTAACTTTACCTGACAGTACAATCACTACATTCAGTAGTACTCCCCTTTGATTTCAATCAAGCTGATTGGACATCTTTTTTTTTAGAAGTAAAAATAAATTGTATTCATTACTTCAGATTTCTAGTGCAAGTTTTTTTAACTGCATATGAAGCTTTCACAGAAACTCTTCTCAGGTCTGCCAATTCTCATATTCCCACGATATCAACGTTACGAAAAAGAAGTTCTCCACTATGGTGGGATTCCAAATGCACAGACATTATCCGTAATAAGTCCGTAAGAGAAATACAATTTGTCTATGACTGAAGAAAACTTCTCTGAGTACCAACAAATAGCTGTTCACTCCAAAAAATTTTTATCTCAAAAAAAGAATCTTGGTTAGACTAGCTTTTGCGAAAGCATGTTTCCTCGCACTTCCGCAGGCATGGTTTGGAGACATGAATCGTTTTCGTGGTTATATTAGGTCAAAATCTGTGTCAGCTAACGATCCATCAGGATGGGTTATCTCATTTGCTGATAAACTCGCTCCCTTTTTCCGAACTGTGACTATCTCCCTATAAAAACATATGACATCATCCCATCTGTTGCTAATTTAGATAATTTTTTCACCTTGCGGGAGCTTGACTTCGGCACTTGGAGGTTTTAGGGATACTGCCCCCGGTATAGATGGTATTCCATATTCGTTTCTTGTTAAGTCTAGGGAAGAAACCAAACTATATTATTTGAAATTAGTTAATACTTTTTACCATTTAGGTATCGTCCCCGTATCCTGGAATAAGCAACTAGTTATCCCTCTGCATAAACCTGGCAAAGACTCTTTGGACTATAATTCTTATAGGCCCATTGCGTTATCGTTCACCCTTTTCAAAGTATTAGAACATATGATCAGGAATCGTCTGGAGTGGTTTTTTGAGAGTCAAGGTCTTTTGGCTAAATCTCAGTTTGGTTTTCGAAAGGGTTTCAGCACTCTGGATAATTTAAGCATACTTACGACTGATATTCGTATAGCCTTTAAGAAAAAGCAATATGTAGTGGCTGTGTTTTTAGATATAGCAGGCGCCTATGATAATGTTCTTCTCAGACGTAAATTGATTCAGCTGAGAGTTCCTGAAAAGTTGGTTCGATTTATAGATAATTCCATTTCAGCTAGGTCTATTGAAATCAAATGTCATGGAGCGCCTTCTATAGTCACGTTTGTTTGGTATGGTTTACTTCAATGGTCGGTTTTGAGTCCCCTACTATATAGTATTACACTTATGACATAGAGAGTGTTGTAGATTCATTCTGTCAAGTCTTGCAGTATGCAGATGACGTAGCCCTCTTTATAAGATCGAATTCAATCGAGGAAGCTTCCTCTCGTCTCAATACTGCGTTAAGTTATCTTAGCGATTGGCTAATGGATCACGGCTTGTCACTATCAGTTTCTAAATGCTGCAGTGTAGTATTTACCAGATTCTAAATTATCAGGAACTCCTGATTTCCATAGTGTTGTATATAAATGCGAGAAAGGGGTCAATGTTCTCTGTGCCTTTCGGGGTGTATGGTGGGGTACTTATCCATTCACTCAAAAATTTATATATAATGCCCTAGTCCATAGTCACTTCGATTATGGTCCTTTTCTTTTAGACCCATGTAATAAGTTGCCATTTGATAAAATTATCTCTGCCACCTATGAAAGGATCGATTTTATAAAATAACCCATTATAACTGTTTACAATTCGTGACATCACCGCATTCTTGCCATAATTTGTGTTGTGAAAGGGACAGCGAACAAACTTGTGTGACGCGTACAATGTGTGGGTACTCTCTCTTATACAACGTGCATTCCATCCTTTACTAAAAAAATTAAAAATATTGTTGAGAGTTTCTAGTTCTTCCTCCAGTTTATCGGTAGCTGTCTCTCGTATTCTACATAGCTATAAAAAATTCCATTCTCCTTTCCTTCCCATAGAATGGTTTTCTCGTCTTCCTTTTTTGAAGATAGCTTTGAATCACTTATTCTTGAGCCGGTCGTTCTTCTTGATTTTGGAATCGACAAAGACTCTCCATATGCCATGCGTACAATGGCACGGAAATTAGCATCGTAATATAAAAGCTGGATGTCCATGTACAAAGATGCATCCAAACAGCATCGTAATGATCCAGTTGGATTAGCAGTATGGATTCCCAGTCACAGATTAGTATTGAGTTTCAAAACTCCCCCTCTCTCTTCCGTATTCACAGGAGAAGCTTTAGCTCTGCTTGAGGCCATTCTATTTGCCGAATCTAATACCTTAACAAAACTATTATTTTCACAGATTCACAGAGTTGCTTACAGTCTATAATATCAAATCTGTTTCGTTCTAAAAATAAATTTCCAACAATATTTAAAATAAGACAAGCATTGTACAGATGCCATTTTAAGAAGCTACCCATTACCCTTGCATGGATACCGGGACACTGTGGTATTCCTGGGAACGAGACAGCTGATGCGTGTGCTAAACAAGCTGATATAACTGACTCATTAAAATATTCCAAACTTTTTTATCACGATCCTTTGTGCTAGCACATAAACATTTAATGAGATCATGGAATGTTGATTAGGAAAATACTAGAAAAAGAGTGGGGAAAGTATTATTTTGACATTCAGAGAAGTATCCCCATTACTCCCTGGTTCTTTAAGAAGTTTTTAAGTAAAAAAACTATCTCAATTATGAATTGGTCATGTGTATTCCCCAGTTCGACTTTTATTTATTTATTAGGTAACACAACAGACATTAATCAAAATATATTTGAATAATAAGTAACAACTGCCAAATTTAAAATCAAAGACAACCCCCTATGCGATTGTGGCACCGAGAAAGGAACTACGGATCATATATTATTTAATTGTCCAAATTTATCCATTTCGCTTTATGATTTGCTCTCATCAAAAGTTCCACGTCCAACAAATATAATAGGTATCTTGAGTATGGAGAAACCCAGCCCATTCAAAATTCTATCTAAATTCCTTGCAATCAATAATAGTGTTAATTTATAAATTTCTTTGTATTCTATATACATTCTATTTGTATTATCTTTAACAATGTAATCAGATTGACGCGCTCAGAGCTTTTTTATTTTATTTAAATTCAAAATTGACATATTTTATTATTCTTTACATGTAAAGACCACAAACGTGACATTGGCGAAATTGTGTATACGCAAATAGGCCATGAATTAAAAAAGAAGAAGAAGAAGTTGTTTTTATTTGATTTATTTTGTAATTGTGGGTGAGAGTGTTGATTGGATAAGAATGTGGTTGTTTTTGGCAAAAAACAAGAATGATATTATTTATTTGCTTCTATTATTAACAAGTGTAGCAATAGGGCCATTCTATAGGACAATAAATAAAATACGGGCGAAGAAATGGATTGGTTCTCTCATTGGTATTTTAATAATCGTGATTGTATCAGGTTACAATGCTATTCATCCATTATTATCAGCATGCCTAGGGGTAATATTAATTAAATTAACGACAGTAAGGTAAAAAAACATTTACGTTTATAAAATAGCTTTTCCTTCAATATATGTATTGCATGTTTAATATTTTATTATCTATTTTTTTGCTATCATCTTCAAATGAGTAAATATTTTGTTTACAGATATTGTCATGTTTTCACATTTTTCTTCATGTTTGCCTACCTATTTTTCTTCCGGTTGGCAGATAAATTTGGTTTACCACTTCCTTCTGGTCAGACAAACCTCATTCAAATGATTATAGTACTCAGAGTTGTTGGAGTAGCATTTGAGATAAATGGATCCTGGTTAATGATGGGAAAAGCAAAGAAAGATAATAATGATGACATTAAGAAAGAGAAAGATGATGATTTTGTTGAGGTAATTAATCCAAGTTTAGAAGACTTATTCCATTATTCATTTAACTACATTGGTTTGCTGACAGGTAAGATATTATTATTTAGCTATTTTACTTCTTTTACTGATAAATTGTTGTTTATGTTAGATTAGGGTATTTGATACTTTTCTGAAAACTATTTTAAATAGTTGTTTGATATATTATAAACACACAGTCTATATATTACATGGGAATCATTTCTATTTTTAAAGAAAATAATTGTTAAAGTTTAAATAGCCAAAATAGCGCATAACATACTTCTCTATGTAATAATAGCACTTCACACGGTATTTGTAATGTTACACAAGAAAACAACCTGTTATTGGTTGAGATGACAACCAATTACAGGGCATTTTTTTAAATTAATTTCATTTGTTATTTTTTTTTATGTTATTTTATTAAAGCTAAAGATATTTTGTCTGTAGAATCTAAGAACTAAACTTTATTAGATTGTTGTCTAATAGTATAACCACAGCTTATTTTCAAAAGTGTGAAATAACCTATTAAGTCCAAAATTGAAATTTTCTTTGAGATTACTACTAAGTTTTATTATTATGGTAGAGTAAAAATAATGTTTAGAGTAAGTTTAAAATTATGTCAGATTAATATGCAAAGTATTAATACAATTTGTGCCACAAATAATATGATATCCAGTAAAATATTGATAAATTTTCCCACATATAATTTTTTATAACTTATTCTCATTAAGTCTTATTTTTTTGCAGGTCCATATTATAGATACCGAACTTTTGATGATTATTTCCATTTACCATTCAGTAAATATGTTGATTATACAGGCTTTACTATCAACACTTTAAAGATGGTGCCATTATATGTGTCATTGTATTTGGCATTATCTAATTTATGGCCACTAGAAGTAAGTATGTTTATATATATACTATAGCCAGTCCCACATTGCATGCCAAATAGCATTGTTTTCGCATGAGTGAAAGAGAAATATGTCATTGTATGAAATTGTCTTTGTTCAGTGTCAGGACTGTAGATTGTCATTCCATGTTCATATGTTCATGGATATATAGGGAGGTTGGCTTTTTACCCACAGTTGATTGGGTTGGTTTTATTAATTACAAAGATTGCTTGGCTATCATATAGCTTCATAATGATATCAGCTCCATTTCAATGATTATATTAATATTGCATTATCATCCTAGTTATAGTTGAAATATATGCAAAATTTCAACTGAATTGAAAACTGAGCTTTGCTTGCTAAATACTCACAGCTTATGGCAAGGTTAATAAAAACTTGTAATAAAATAATAAGACAATCATAAACAACTTTTTAATTTACCAGAATTATTATTCAATATCAACTACTCACGAAGATATTTTTTTGTAATGGTATTGATTATGTCAATACTAATTGACCATATTATAACTTGATAAATTAAAAGTGTGGCAACAGTAAAGCACAAACAACTGATGTGCCTATGCCAGTATGTATTATTCTATTCATTTATTTAATTATATTTTTAGTACATTTTAACTGAAGACCACAACAACAGAAGTTTCCTATACAGGATGATGTATCCTTGGGCACTGTTTGCGCAATTTCGTCAACGCATTTACTCTGGCATGACCTTAGCTGAAAGTGTGTGTACCTCAGTTGGTTTTGGAGCATATCCAGTAGAAGGACGTAATAGAACAGGCCATGGACCAACAGTTGGCTATTTGAAATTGAAAAAAATGTATGAAATTTATTGAAATATTTTTATATGTTTTAATACCTAGTGAATAAGACTCACCACTTGGATATAGACTTTTCCTATGAATGGAATCAAAAACGTGTGTAGACACTAAATGAAAATATTTTTTTTTCTGCTTATTATATTTAGAAATCACTTAACTTCAAGTATCAATGAATGATTATTCCGCCATCGAGCCATGACCTTGGCCCAATGCGGATTGGAGAGTATTAACGACTGCAAGTGCAGCTGGGACCAACGGCTTAACATGCCTTCCGAGGCACAAAGCAGCTTGAAATAATAATTTTTTGGTCACTCATCCCAAGACCCTTGGGAATGTTGCTTAACAACAACGATCGCGGGCCGTTTCTCTTATCCACTCTGCTGCCGAGCTACTAATGAAAGCATAATTTGAATATATTAACGTAAATTAATATAAAAAAACACTAATCTAGTTAAATTATGGTTACTTCTTTTTGAAATTTTCAGGTCTAATGAAGAAGCTAAGAATGCGCAATATGATTTCAATACGATAGAATCAATGGATGTATGGGGATGTGAAACCGTAGTGACGCTACGCGACTCCATGAAGGTTTGGAATAAAGCGGTCCAGTATTGGGTCGCGATGGTGGTTTACAAGAGATTCCCTATAAAACCGTTGAAGTAAGATTTTTTTTTCTAATAACAATAATATTATATTTCCACACACCCAAAATCCACTCTACAAATGTTTTGCCCTTTCACGGAGTGTTCTCAGGAATTGTTAGACCTTACAGTGCCAACCATCGATTTGGGTAAGTGGATTGAACATGTGAATTTGTGTGCGTAACTTGTTCTTTGAAAGATATTCACGAAAATTATTTTAAAAGATATTTATATGAACGATATTATTAATTTAACGTTAATTAAATTTCCTAAGGCGAGCGTTAGACGTGAATATCACTAATATAAATTACCAATTTTTTACTGTCTTGATCATTCAAATCATTAGTGCCAAAAGCCTATGCGAATTTAAACGGGACTTTATGATTGATAATTCCAAAAATCGCTTTTAAAATCGCTATGCCTTTCAAAGGATAGATTTAAAAATGAGACAATTAGGTCACAGGTCCTGCGGATACAGATTGGGTGTGGAAGTTGCTAGATATCTTAGTTTTACGGTTATAGCAATGGACTTGCGCAAAATAATGCCTGATTCTATTAAATACTATCATATTCTCATATGAGGGTCAAAAAAGGATTTCATATTAGATTTCATCTTTCAAAATACAAAAACCCAAGTCCAATATATTATTTTATTTACCATTTCATTTCTGACGTTATTAGACTCGCAAATCTTATGTTGACCCCTTTCACCGTCAATTTGTTCCAGTGTGTTTAAACAATACTTGAGTTATGCATATTCATTATAGTAGGAATACTATTATTTTTAGCTAGTAACAGTTCCTATTTCATTCAAATTCTTGTCTATTGGTTTAAAGATAACTCTTTAAGTTATGTCATTTTCTCAAGTACTAACTATGAAAAAACATTTAAAAAAATTAAAAAAGATATTGACTTGAAACGCGTATTTTCGCGTGTTAGACTTTTGAACTGTACTTGCCTATCTGTAATAGAAGTAAATGAAACTTGCCTATCTATTGAGGTAGGAATAAGGGCTAGTAATTGTTTATTAACAATGAGAAAGTATTTAAAAAAAAACGAAAGCACTAAAAAAGCACCTTCACTAGATGGTGACTCTAGCAAAAGTTGATTTTTCCAGGAAACGAATGGACCAAAGACAGTCATTTCCGTTCCTTTTAACTAACATATTAAAAAACTGACATTTGAAAAGTTCGTAACTTAGATATCAATACAAATACGAAAACGTAAAAATAGAATATGAGTTGTTAATTGACTTTTGAAAACTAATTTACTTTTGAACATGAAAGAAAACCGGAAAGGCTGTCATGGAGAAATCAAGAACGTACCGTAGCGACATCTAGTTTGATTTCGGGAACTAATGCTTTTTTTAATACTTCCTCATTGATTATTTCTTATATGAGTATTATAAATAGTCCTTCTGTGCTATTGGTTGGTGTAGGAATAATATTGATTTATTATTATTATTTGTATAATATATTGGAATCACATTGTAGTATCATCAATTTTACCTTCTATTTGGTACGGTAGAAGGTAAAATTCAAGTTGTTGAGATTATATTCAAATGCTATTATTACGTAGACATTAGCTGAATTGGCCTGCAGATGTATAATATTATCAGATAATCGTATTATATTATTTTTTACAAAGAAATGAATTTGATCTGTTCTTATTTAGATCTAACAACAGTCTTATTTCATTAATTACATATCAATTGTTTCAGAATTCATGCGGCATTGTTTGTATCTGTGATTTGGCATGGTATACATGCAGGGTATTTCTTCTGCATTTACTTCTGTCCATTCTATGTAATGGCCGAGGACATATATTACAAGCTTTACTATAAGAATGCAACAGGGATGGTGAGTACCACAGTAATAATATTTGCCTGTTGTCAGATTAAGATATTCAGACCAAAATAACATGAATTTATAATCTGTGGATCCTAAGAACCGCAACGCCAGCGGCCATGAGGGAGTGTCTTGTGACGTCACATTTCAATAAACTAAACATCAACGTCTTTGTTGCGCGTAGGTTCAACTGGTTTTTATAGAATAATAACATTTCACATAGGCTAGTCAAGAGATAGGTGATCATAATTTATAAGCCCCTCCTTACTTCGGAAGATATTATGCCTTTGGCCCTAGCATCTGCAAACGTTAACACCTTTTAATTCAATAATGGATCATTTTCCTTCACGATTTTATTTCGAATGAAACCCTGTGCTTCAGAACTGGAAATAATCTATTGTGAAAAAACTGAGCCGAGGAGCTCGATTGCGCTATGACTAGCGGGCACTGTCTGCGATACGGTTGTTAAGCAACTTTCGTATTTGCTAGTCATATGATGGGTAACCGAAATTTATTATTTCGAGTTTCAGAAGACACAATAACTCGTTGGTTCCGGCTGCATATGCAGTCCTCAACACCCACTAATCTGCACTGGGTCCGGTCCATTTCGCCATGTGCTTTTGTATAATTTATTTATATAGAATAAGGTTGACACTTGAACATTGTTTAATTATAAATAACAAAAATGTATAAGATTAAATATTGAGCATGTAAATCAGGTTTACAAAACTATTATATTTCTTGATTTGATTTAAAACCTTAATATATTGAAGATAGAGGTCAAAATCAATTGAAGAAATGTGACATTGTAATACCTGACCTGCAGCTGTGTGTAAAATGATACTTCATTAAAGTTTACTATATGTTTCTCTTTCAGAAAAAGAAAATAATGAGTTTCGTAATGTGGTTCCTTAGATCACATTCGGAGTCTTACCAAGCAGCTGCATTCCTCCTTTTAACATTTGACCGCATCTGGATTTATTATTCATCCGTGTACCATTACTGGTATGGAGTGTGGTTGGTTTTCCTTATTGTAGGCTTAGTACTAAATCAGCTCAATAAGAGTAGTAGGCCAAGAAAATCTGTTGATGAACTAACTTCAGAGAAAGTGAAATAGTAAAATGTTTGAATATAACATTAAATTATATTGAAAAATATTCTTAACGAAAAATGTATTATGAATCCTCTTTGTCCCTGGCACTCTGGCATCTCACTCGAAACTTTCGCAATCCGGTTGACTGATCTTAACCACCTAGGACCTAATAGGACTGTCGAATTTTTCAAGCACTTCTTACTTTTTCGCTAATACAGAGTGTTTTGTTCAGGCAATCAACCCAAACAGCCGAAAGATTTTTTTTTACAAATATTAAAATTTCGATATAGATCACAATCTCAGAGTGACGGGGTCTAAATGGATTTTTTAAGTAATTTACATTTTTATCAACTTTATTATGATAGGCGTTGTACAGCAATAATATAATAACAAGGACTTTTATACTTTAACTAATTCTACGAAGGTTTTCAATTGTAAAATGCTTGCAATTAAATTATCAATGAACATGTCGTAGACGATTGGTTAAAAGAGCTGTTTTAACCAATTGGACGGCTAGCCCTTTAATTGAATAGTGCCGTTCAATTGCATGACTCGTTTTATCAAAATGTTGTATATTTTTTAAATTCTAAGTTATAAAATTTATGAAAATGCGTATTAATTATGATCATTTTATTATCATTGAATATAACCATAATGATTTATCGACCAAGTACATAATTATTTGTGCATAAACTAGTACAACTTGCGGAGAAATTAATAGGTAACTGATGTTGTTATTGTTTTATAAATAATTTTTGCTTATATATTTTTCATGTTATTTGTCTGTAGTGTTATGTGTATATGTAGACTGAAATTATGCTCAATGAGATTGTTATTTAATTTTTTTTTATTATTTTAATTTGCTCACTTAGATGTTAGTGTATAAAAGATCGCTTCTTGAGCAGGTTTGTCATGAAATCTATATTTTTATAATATAAATGAAAAATGTATTAACCAGTGACGTAATAAGGTGTAACTAAACTACGATATACTATACAATTTGTATTAGAATTTTATTTGAATACTAGTGGCCGCCAGCGACTTTGTCCGCGTTTTCCATTATTTCTTCGCTCCTAATAGTTGCAGCGTGATGTTATATAGCCTAAAAATGTTATATAGCCTTCCTCGATAAATGGTCTATTCAACACAAAAATATATATTTTTTTAATTCGTACCAGTAGTTCTTGAGATTAGCGCGTTCAAACAAACAATCTAACAAACTCTTCAGCTTTATATATTTTCCTGGATTTCGAAAAATTTCCATTGTCCGAACCAATGGCACACCTTTACATTATTTCGAAGTATTGCGTTTTGTTATAGAAGTCGAGTTTTGTAGGCGGGGAATAGAATGCAAAGTTCTATGGGCAACAGTACGTATCGTTTTAAACCCTCACAATAATACTTTGGGTTGATGCACGTTTTTCATCAGCCTTAGTACATACTATAGTAGAATTGACGTATTATTTGTTGGAGATTTTAACTTATTAGACACGATTTTTTTATTGTTCCTTAATATTACCGATATATGGTAGTATAGTTTTTTTATAGGTACATATCGCACATTTAATAAAAAAGATGACTGATTTTTTCATCTTTTAAAGGTTAATAAGTCATAAATCTTGAAGATTGAGTTTATAATGCAAAAAAATTAAACGTGCGAATGGTACAGTTGACAAATTAGAAAACAGTTTTGATATATTTCAAAAAGATATTCTACTTAAACCACTTATAAACAGTCTTTGATGTTTTATCATTCTTCATTGTTTTTTTGTTGTTGACTGCATTATCTTACATGTGCTGTTACTAAACAAATAAGGTTTTGGTGATGTGTGGGTATATGAAGCTGCTTGTGTGCCTAACTGTATAAGGATAATACAAGCTGATAATTATGTATCGGAAAAACGATATAGGTATTTAAATACCGTAATTTCTCGATGTTAAATCAGTTTTGGGAACACAACGGGGTGTTTTTTTACCCAATGTAAACCCTCGGACATGTCAGTTTTACGTATATATGTATCTCACATAGTTTTCGTGAATAATTATAATTAGAATAAGTGTCAGGTGAAAATTGGCTCCGATTTTGACATAACAATAAATATATGTCTTTGAGTACCCATCAGATACATTTTATTGCATAGTAAATTAGTTTAATAATAAGTTGTGTGCTATTTATTATCTCAGTGCGTGCGCGGAAGTTGATTACTCGTTAAGGAAATGACAGTAAGATCTGAACTGTTATGTTTCAATCGGGTCCAATGTTTACATAAATATTAAAATGAGGGTAGGTAAATATTAGGAAGATGAGGCTTGTGGGTAGTTATAAACATTGTGTATATTAAAACAAGTTTTAATGGTCTTTACATTCCTTTAACAGTCCACTAATATAATGTTGGGTTTCTAGTCTGCAATCTATTATTTGTTCTTAAAAATATATAAAGTCTTACTTTAAATAAAATTGATTTGTTTCATTTAATTTACAACATTAACATAACAATAAAAGTACATTATTATAATTATTTCAATTACGAAGTGAACGTTGAACGTATTGGTGAATCAGGTAAGTGAAAATCACTGTCATACTGAAATAAAAATATAATATTGGAAAAGTCAATGGCATAGCAACAAATAATATATTATTCGAGTTTAATTTGAGTGTATTTCTTACATGATCTAACATTAAATATGGCAAAATAAATGTGCTTAATAATAAAAAAAGCTTAATAATAATATAATTAAAATTATAATCTGAGAATTAAGTGTTACTGGTAGCCTCCCAATAGTTAATATTGTCAACTAATATAACAATGCCGTGCAAGTTAAATTTGACAAGTTCAGACTAGACAGACAAAAAATAATTATCTGTTATGAAATAGGTTATTTTAAAAATATGAGTTTTGATTATTTTAGTTTTACAATGCTCTTTGAGTTGTTTGCTATAAGAATTTAGAAATGGCAATGAATCTTTAAATACGAAATTTAATCTGTTCCGGATCTAAAGAGGTGCTGGGGTCAAAACAATAAAATATTTTCTTAGAATTTATTGCCCCATGTTGTTCGTCACTCAAGAAGGATCTTTTTCTTTTGAAGTTTGCGAGTCGGATATAAAACAAATTGGTTTATTTTCGATTTACACGGTATTGATATTTAAATGACAATATGCATGATTCATTTGGGTATATATCGTAGTTTATGACAAAATTAAAGCTATTTTGTGTAGAGTATATACAAAATTAATGTAAAGTATAAGAATAGACAAAAGATTATAAGCGTCTTATTCTAAAACGAGAACTAAATTTAGTACAAACTAGGTTTAAACTATTATACAATCAAAATAACTCAACAAGTCTCAACTTTACCTTCTGTTTTGTCATTGCTAATTATTATTTGACAGTCAATAGAGCTTAAAGACGTCATAAAACCTTAATGGTCGTTATTGCAACTGACCGTTTATGTCAATACAGGCTTAGAATTCGGGTGTAGACAGAAAACAAAAATAAATACATACTATTTTTTCCGGTAATATACTGTTACCGATAATCACACTTTATTATTATATTTATAATATTGCTTAAACTGATTATGAAAATACAAATATGCTGTCACGTGACCGCAAACAGCGCGTGTCGTGACACCCTTCTTACTCATATCTGAACTTACGAATTCAACCTTAAGCATACATAGAACGATATTCGTTTCAGAGTGCCGTGACGTCATAGCGACGCCATGGCAGAAGGGGCGATTTCGAGGAAAATTTTGAAATATTTATTTTTGAATTGTAACTTTTTATATGAATGATTTTTTTTCAACTTATTTAATGTATATCTATTATATATATAGTTGTCTACACCCCTATTATCATTACACAAAATTTCATCAAATCCGTTCAATAGTTTTATCGTCAAGAAGTAACAAAACATATAGTAATTTATAAAATTTAGAATATTATTAAGATTATATTCTTATTATTTGATTTAGACAGTCAATGGTATAAATCAAATATTAACTTTAGTCCCCGTTTTATAATATGACTGTAACGAGCTGGGTATGTTCAGCTGTAAGTGTTAGGACAGAGCAGTGCAAACTGGAATCCATAGTAAATTTTCTTTATATGCAGGAAAATGAAAATCTCGCTAGTAATTGTTACTTATTTACGTTAAAACCAGTTTACATACTCGTCTCTTATTTTGTGTCATTTAACTAAAATTAATCATTAAACTACATGCAATAAGCGTCACAATTTATGCATTTAATATTTAATTAATAGTCCATTTTTACAATAATCCCTATTTATGTCGAATATTGTTCAAATCGATAAAAATATTAATATATTTAATATGCATTGGTTACTTTTAAAATATCCCATGCCACTTGAGAAGTTTAAATAGGTATATATTTTTTTGTATGTTAGGTACGGTTAATGTTATTATATTAGTTACTGGTTATTTTAATTATAACCCATTCCAAGTCTCATTATAGATTTTTTCAAAATATCAAGGACCATGAAGAATAATTTTATCATTACTAGTGAAGTTATTGACCAGACACCAAATGGATTTGGTTTTAGCATGACCGCTGACCGTCAGCTGACACGCCAATCATGTTTGGGCTCTATAGAAGCGTTCAATAGTTACGCCGACCGCCCAGCGCTGAAGAGTGCGAATGCATCCGATCCACTCGTCAAGAATAAATATTCCAAATTCAAGCACTACTGCATCGGGTGACCCATCACCAAACTTTGCACTTTAATTAACGCGACAAAATTAGGGACCGAAAAGCGATGTCAAAAATTAAGATTTTTTTTCAAGGGGGAGGGGGTGTTGTCAATATGTTGAAAAAAAAAAACATCACGTAATTAATGGACGGCCCCTTACTTGTTGACATGCGTAAGTAGTTGATGGACTTGTTATCGTCATTGCTTTCAACTCTGTACAAACAGTGGCAAATGGTTGAACAATGTCACAAATGCACCCACTAGCACTGTTAGAGCTTTAAGTGGATGAACATGCTGTGCTCATCTTTTTCGTTGTCGCTTCTTTCTTTTTGCATAAATAATACACTACAGCTCATTGGCCATGTCTGTACTTGGCAGTGATCAGCACGACACTGAAACGAGTGTGTCGTCAGTGGGGACGGTCCGTGTTATACTAAAACCAGCCTTAGAGTTATAACATTAGATACAACAGCTGCAATACATAGTATACTAAATGCCAGTCACACACATATTACAAATGAGAAACTACTCTGCCTCTTATGCTTTCACTGTTGAACTCCTGAATCGATTCAAATAAAGTTTTACATAGAGGTAGTTAAAGGTTTGGGAAAAGTCACAGGCTAGGCCGTTTTTTTACAATAGTAGAAGTGCATTCTGAATATCCGCGAATGAAATTGCGAGTAAAACATAGTTACATATAAAACAGTTTTTCTCATTCCCTTTGAATAATGATTATTTTCTTCATGTACAGTGAATAATTAATTACGTAATGATTAAACTAATCAGTTGTTTTTTAAAATGTTTGTTTATCACACTTACCACAACATATATAATGACACAGACCAACAGAATTCTTATCAAGCTATTACGCAAAACATTATAATTCACTACTATATAATTGGTAAAAATTATTGTAGTTGAATAATCCTTAATTGAATAAATATGTTTTCATTTCCGAATAAAGCAAATTAATTATAATACATTAAAGGCACTGAGTATCACAGTATTGGCTGAAACAATCAGATTTAAAAAAATGGCGGTGCTAGGCATGCAAAGCGAAGAAAAAGGAAAAGAAGCCGCACCAATTTCTACCAAAATAGTTAGGGCTATTTACCCGACGTTCCAGCCATAGGACACAGGTTTGTGAGTTGTGGCCCCACCGGGTTGCGCATGCGCTTGCCCATAGTTTTTATTTTGTGTGGGTGTCTGATAGCTCGGCTGACCTGATGGATAATTCTGGGGTTTAGAACTCCTCGAATTCGAATTGTAAGAAGAATAATTAGGGTTTTCCATAATAGGTCGGGTGTTGAATAAATTATTCAAACCTCCGTTCTTGGTTAAGTCGTTGAGGATACCGCCGAAGATGTTTGATAAGCCATTGCTTCCTGGTTGGTTTGTGCCAGTGTTGCCAGTCGATCCGCCTGCTCCGCCAGCATATTTGCTCAAGGTGTTGATGATGCTGTCTAACGGGTTTCCACCGCCGCTGCCGAAGCCTCCCGAAGACGTGGGCCTTGACCCGCCGTAGGGTGAGTTGCCTCCATAGGGCGAATTGCCTCCATAGGGCGAATTGCCTCCATAGGGCGAATTACCACCATTAGACGACTGGCCCCCATAAGGCGAATTACCTCCGTAAGGCGAATTGCTTCCGTAAGGTGAGTTGCCACCGTAAGGGTTGTTATGGCCGCCGTAAGGAGAATTATTTCCACCATACGGGGAATTATTGCCTCCGTATGGAGGGTTGCTGCCCCCGTATGGGGAGTTTCCCCCAAAAGTGCTACCCCCTTGGGAGTGGCCTCCGTAAGGATTGTTACCGTATGGAGAGTTATTTGGCGGCGCTGGTGCGGGGTAGTTCGGGGGTGAATCGAAATGATTCGTTGGAGTTTGGGGTTTAGGTGTAGGATGTGGCACTGATGGCTTTGCTGGTTCTGAATGGGAACCTGAAAAATTATTATTATTAATATTGCATCAAAAATAATAATAAAATTTATTAAAAGTAATTAGTCGTTAACATAATAACATAACAGTAATTTACGGAATAGGGATGATGATTTAGTTTTTTTGTCTGTCCGTTAGATGGTTGATGAATTTTAAACACGTATTTTTTACTTTTTTTTGCGTAATGAATAAATGACAGCTATACATTGAGTTGAAATGTCGCGTACATAGTTGTGACGTAGCGAGTTCCCAGTTTTCAGTTTTATTGTCTATATTTGTGGCCTGTATTATCGAAGACATTTCTTGTTAAATTGAACAAAAAATATATATACGTATCTAATATTTTTATATTATTTGACCGACGGACTAAATAGTATTTCTTTCTTTTTACTCAGACAAAAAGAAAGAAATACTCATGCCTATCTTGTTTTGGTAGATGTTACTGACCGATATATAGAACTACCCTCTTTCGAGTCCTATTACGTTCGATGCTACGTGATCACGGCGCTTGTAACGTCGCAGATATATGTGAGGCCTGATATAAATAAGGTATGTACTAGCAATCCCGTTATTATAATAGTATGAGTCATGAAATTCTATGATTATTCGTGTTAGATAATTATAATGACTCAACAACGTGCACTGTAATATTATGTACACATGACTAAACTATGTTGTGACATTATTGTTCTTTTGTTATTATGTCGATATACAAATTCAATAAATCGTTAATATCTAATATGTAAGGTTTTCGTGTCACAGTTTTAGTTGGCATCCTCCTCCGCAACAGCTAAACTTATTAAGATGTTTTTTTTTACATAAGTATGTTTGTCGGTTCAGGAACTTTCTTATATATACGTTTTATCAGTATTATTTATGAAAAAAGTTCTATAAAAAATTGTGCCTTGAATTAATTTTCATTATCTTATTGTCAGTAGATTACAAGGGATACGCTAAAAACAAGCAGTAACCGGTACAAATAACCTATCAATTAAATCATCAATAAATTGAAGATATAAATCTTTAAAAAATAAAGTTTCACACTCTATTTAAATGTTAATTAATTTTTTTCGAAAATTTCTTTTTTTTTAATAGTATTCCTTATTGTGGATATGTTATAACAGCGATAAATTGTGGGTTTCATGATAAAATGTGGATTGGATTTTACATAATGCTGGTGTGTATCATTACATTGTTTATTTTAAAAATTATAAGTAATCAATCATAATTCTATTGAGGGAAGGAAAACTAAATTATGTAATAAGGAAGTTGTAAGGAAAACTATAAATGTACAGTGGATAGCTTACTTATTAAGTTATTACAAAAAATCAGTTTTTTCGATTAAGTTCAAAATTGTTTACAATAAGATCTTTAGAACAAAAAGAAAGTTATCTATTTCATATTGTATTATAATTTGAGAAAATACAAAAATATAATTATTATATTTTAAAGGCAAATTGCAAAATTGAAATGCAATAATAAATGAAAATGGGATGAGTTCTGTAGGCCGAAAAACTAATAACTGATAACAGATAACTCCGAATTCAAATTTGGTAAATGTGTGATTTTCAATTGTTTTCTTACTGTCAAAATGAGTGAATCTAATGAAGAAATTCGTTACATTTTAAAATTATAGTACCTACTCGTATAATGCATCGCAAGCTTCGAAAAATTTGTGTTGTTTATGGACCTAGTGCAGGTTCTGGAAGAGTAGCAAAAATTTGGTTTAAGTGTTCTCAGTCCGGAAATTTTTATGTCAAAGATGCATGTCGCTTTTCTCGCCCTGTTACGGATAAAATGGATGCCATTTTTGATAAAGTGGAGCAAGATCGGCATATCAGTAGTTACGATGTAGCTAAAGAACTGGGGATTGACCACAAAACACTTTTGGCGCATTTGAAAAAAGTTGGATATTTGGGGGCGAACTAACTGAAAGAAAGCCTAACGAACCGTGTACTCATTTGTGATTATGTATTACGGCGTTTCATTACGACCAATTATAAACTTTTTCAAAAATACCAAACCATTTTTGAAGAAGCTGATAAGTGATGATGAAAAGTGGATCACGTACAACAAGAACGTGTGAAAAAGGTCGTGGTAAAAATCAATCAGGCTTCACAGACTGTGGGGAAACCCATTGGGTTAAAATGAGGTAACAGGCGAAGCTTTGTGTATGATGGGATTGGAATGGCGTTATTCATTTTAAGCTGTAACCGCAAGGCAGGACGGTCGATTCTGAACTCTGCAGATGATGAGATTAAAGCAAGAAGTTCAGAAAAAACGGTCAGAATTAACCAATAGAAGGTGTGTGGTTTTTCGTCATGATAACGCTAGACCTCACAAATGTTTTGCTACTCAGCAAAAAATAACAGCGTCTGGAGGTGTTAATGCATCCCCTGTATAGTCCTGACCTTGCACCTTCAGATTTCCACTTGTTTCGATCTCTTCAGAATTCTTTAGGCAGTGTCAGGTTAACATCACACAAGGACTGTCAAAACTACTTGTGGCGATTTTTGAATAAAATGCGAAGAAACTCTTCCCTCATATTATTTAATTTAAAATCATTTTAATGTAATGAGTTTCTCCATTTGAAATAATTCTATAAAATCATTGTAACTGTTTTTAAATCTGTGCGTAAAAGATTTAAGAATGTCAGTCTAACTTTAAAGCTATTAAGTGATGTAATGATTTATAATTGATATCTGTGGTTGTGCCTTAATTAACATAAAAAGATATCTATAAAATACCTTCGACTTGTGTCTTCTTCTTGCATGTAGGGTATGTGCCACAATTTGAAGTGTGACCAAACGAGCATGGATCTTCAGCTAACACGCAAACTTCGCTATTGAGACATCCGATGTCCTTACACGTTCGACCATATTCTGAAAAGGTATAATATTCGTTAACCCATAAATGCATACAACTACCTATTGATTTAGTTCTCTTGATTGGAAAACAAAATAAAAATATAACTTTCATTGAAGTTCATTGAATTCTACATTTCACTCGGAAAATTTATCGTGGCCCCATTTAATACAACTCGTATTAGAATTAAATACTAACTTGCTACTTATTACCTATTTGTGTGTTTACACTTATTTATCCACTTCAAATTTTATTTAAGCTTAAAATCTATTTCCAACTTGTGTACTTCATTGGTACACTACCACCCATAAAGTAGTAAATCAGTGCAAGTTGTGACTTGGTTTTTGCGTGCACAAAAGACCTGTTAGCACAAATATTCTATAAATAGCAAATGCTATTATTTTCTACAATGAGATGTCTATATGTATGCGAGTAATAACGAGTCAGGCAACAGATTTTTATTCCAATAAAATTTGTAAATTGATAGAAAACATATAAATGCTCAAATATTTTTTTAATTTAAATGTTAGACGACATTACCTACATTGCTCAGATTCCTAGACGAGTAGCCAAAGCCCCCTTATTATGAAGTATCTGAGACAACATCAGCGCCCGAGACAATACAGATAAATCGAACGAGAATCAAACCCGGGACCTCAGATGGCGACACCTTGAAACCGACATGCGAACCACTCGGCTACGTAGATCGTCATAAATTAATAAAAAAAATATAAATTGTAACTAATTATTATTTGTAGTTTATAATTGACTATTATAAAAAAAATCATCTTACGCTGTCAGCCATATTAGATTTAAAATGATTTGACATAGTCATGTTGTTAATAATAGTTTTAAACTTCAGTTCCAATATATGAAGTGCAAAATAATGGCTAGTAATACATTAAAATATAACGTATCTACATGACTTTAGATAACCGGCAAAAAATATACAATCATACTCAATTCATACGAGTACAACTTTCAACGGAAAGTAGCGGAGATTTCAATGGTATCTAAAATAAATCTCACGAGGGATACGGTTTGAAGAACCTGATTGAATAAAGATTTTCATCTATCCACACGTGATTTGTATGATGTTGGGTCTCAATTTCGAACTTGGCTGATATATCATTCTTGGGTACCTATTACCGGCAGACACAAAACGTTACATACGTTCTTATTTCCATTTCACTGGTTAGCAAAAGGAACTTGGGCGGGTGTTAATAATTTGAATGAAAATGAGAACACCCTTTAGAAACCTACACTGGAAAAATTATGAGACTAATTTCTTGCGTATTGTTCGACGGCACAGTTAAGCATGTTTCGCAAAGGCCAGTCAATAGATGAGTGACCAAAAACTTATTATTTCGAGCTAGTTTTTGCTCGGCTGCATCTGCATTAGTTAGCTCCCGCACTGGGCCATCGCAGTGGGTCATGGCCCATTCTTGCTATTCAATTCAATTCCAATACACCCATAGGGATGGCCTTGTCTCCAGCGGTGGGGACATTAATAAGATGACGATGATAAAGAAGAAAGATGTGATTGTTTGTTTGTTTGCACTGAATAGGCTACGAAGCTGCGGGACTGATTTTAATGAATTTCACCTAGGGAAAGCTGCATCATATGCGGGTGAAATTGCCTATAAATTACTTGGGCAAAGTCGCGACTTTCCTGCGGGAAATCAGTTAATTTTAATAAAATCCTTTGATCGTATGCCTCAGAATGACTTTGAGTGCCAATTATAGCTTTTTTTTTATAAACAAAGCTACGAGAACTGCAAAACAGTAAAAATACCCATTTGATGAGTTAGTTTTTGTAGATTTGGAGGTCAAAAGTTTGCTCAAAACCTGTTGTACTAGTTATCGAATTCGCGACCTTCTTCCTGCAGAAACTTAACGTTTAAATACTTTAAACTAAATCATCTAAGGTTAGGTTGTTACTGTATACATTAATAAACCAATACAGTTTTTGATACTAAAATAACCAAATTTGCTTTAGAAATACCAGCTTTTGTTCATATTTAGTCTGCTCTGTCAATTGTGGTTATAATATCTCGAGGACATAATGCTTCAGAATGTTTTACATCTCACCCAGTTTTTTGATTAAATAAAGATAAATTAAATAATTAAAATCAAAATAGCGTTGCTTCGTAAGTCGAACATGAATTATTCATTAGATATAAAGACTAGTAATGACCGTAGACAGTGGATTTTATTGAAACACATATGCATAAAGTATAATATCCCATATCCATAAAGTAGGAATACAATCCTAACAATAATATTATGACTTAAAGGAGTTTTTATAAAGCTCATTTTTACATACCCGCAACTAGAATAAGTAAGAACAAAACATGGCAGAATAAAAGAAACAAAGTGAGTCATCTATTCATAATAGGCAAAAAGTTTGGACATGTTGAAGTTCTATACAACAGTATTATATAAAATCTTAGGAGTGAACAAAAAGAATAATATCATTTAATACAAACATAGTATTATCATTAACGCCTTACGGTCCATTCAATTAAAGTCATTTAGAGATTTTCAAAATTGTTAACACCCGTTTTCACTAACCTAGAACAAGGTATAGCTTAACTAGGAAACGCATAATTTCGTCTATATTTTTACTTTTAACCTAAGATATCTAAATATTTAGGCGACAGATTTACGACTTCTAAATTAAATGAAATAGGGCATAAGAATACTTGAGTGAATGCTAAATCTATTTTTACATTATTCAATTGCGAAACGTTTATACAATGATATTTCGCGATAACTGTTCCAATTAACTTTTACAACACGACTAATGAATGAATGAATGAATAATACTTTATTGCCCATAAAGACATAAACATGAAAACAATTATTATTAGAAACATCGATGCAAAAGGCGGTCTTATTGCTTAGGTAGCAATCTTTACCAAGCTACCCTTGACTAAAAAAGCTATACCGATTGAGCAAAGATACTGCGGGCAAGTGTATAAAAGAAAGATGAATGTGAAAATTCATAAAAATAAATACATATACTAATATTATTTAAAAAAATATACAAATATATAAACAAAACAGAATACAATTTCAGGAAGATGAATCCAGCTTGAGAAAACGTTCCTTCACATATTTAACAAAGGACTGATGATGTATTACATTAAAAAAGATAATCAAAGAACATCTTAAAGAAACCTGTGTTAGAGGCAACTTCAAATTCTTTTATAATTAATCGAATCAACAAGTCTTTATATTTAATTAAAATCTGCTTAGTGATTAAGGAAAGAATCGAAAACATTAAAGCACTGAAGTTTCACCACATACACTTTATCCACTCAAAAGTTTTGAAAGCGGGCTGGGAACCTTTCATGTTACAGTAATAAAATTTGTTTCGGGATTGCGAACATCATAAAAGGCAAATGCACGTCGAAAACGTTTTAAGCTAAGAGTGGCAAAGCGTATATTTCAGTAATGTTACATCCGCGCCTAGGAAGTGAGACTTTAGAGGCAATAAAAACAAATAAAAAACCATCATAAGGCCGGATCATAATTCATTGTTTTGTTATTTTAGAGAGGCGCGTGCAGCTCGTTTTATGTGTGCATTAGGTAATGGATTCGAGCCATATCTTACAACAATCTCGGGTAGACGGTACGTGTTTCGAGACATCCGAGTACGTCCAAAGAGGGAGACCCTAATGGGATACCGAGTGCGTTTACATCCATGGGTCTTTTGATACAGGTCGTCGCATTGAAGACTTCAATGTGAATGGCGGTAAAGTAGAATAAAACAGATCACAGCACATCAGCGAACTCTTTGGGGAAAAACCAACAAGGGCGTTTTAAATTATGGATATAAATAAAGTTTAATGGCTTACTTGAAAATCCATCAGCGTAGAGCACCAAGGAGAACGCGACAAGAACCGTCCTCCAGTCCATGGTCGATAGAACTAGATACTCTAGAACAAAATATATTAGAGAATTAAATAAAATAAAGAAAAACAATACACGTTAAAACCTACAAGACTGTGAATCAAAGTCTATGTCTGACACAAGTAAACTAATTTCACTTTCAAGATTATGTAATACAAACGTGCTAATGAAATTATTAACGAGCTGTTAACGCCTTTCAATGTATAATATGTAAAAGAGATTTGTCTAATTTAATTAGAGCAATTTGTTACTAGTTAATTAGATTTTGTGCGATTGAGAACGGCAGTTAAGATGTCAGTGGAAACGATTTAATTGTTTTAATTAGTAAGCAAACTGTAAGTGTAGAAGGAAGTCCTTTTGTTCTTATTATAGTCTCATTTATTATTTTCTTGTTATACTGAAAGTTGCTATACTAGTCACAACGAATGCAGGTGATTTGACGTACTGACATTACATATCAAAACTATGATTTTCGTGAATAAAAATATTTGTGGAAACGATGCATTTAGTTAAACTATCAAATGTTGGTCATAAACTATATTCTGAATAGTTTGTAATAAACAATTTGTCATCGGACATATAACAATTACTCCAGCAACACTTTCGCAACAACAAAGTGAAAAGAGTAACAAAGTTGAGATGCGAGATGGAACAGCCCGACATGTGTATTTCACAGCAGCACACGTTGGACAGCTCAGCTGAAACTTTATGACGTGTAGCAACATTCCCGGAGCAATTTGCCCAAACTGTTTCGTATAACCTCGTTAGCAAGTGTGCTGGGTAAGTAAGCGTTTTGGGGATACGAGTTGCCCTTTATTGAAACCTGACGGACGTAGTTTACTTGGGAATGCAATGTGCAACATATTTGTTTCACGAATGTGTTGCTTAGTAATTTCTTGATAGAGTAATATAACATACAGTGGTCGATCGTCTGTGTTGAAGATTCATGGGGGTTATTTTACGATTACAATATCTAGTAATTTAAGTTATGCAAAACTTATAAACTAATACGAATTTTACATTATACACACGCATAATACACACATTTAAATATTTTTACAATAACTACTAATTTAAGTTATGCCAAACTTATAAACCAAGACAAATTTTATATTATACACACGTTTTAATATTTGTAAAACTTAGTATTTGAAAAAAAAAAAAACAATTATCACTAGAAATGCTTTAAAGTTTGCACTGACTTATAAAGGCAAATGATGCCATCAGAATCACCACCCGGTAGGAATGAAAATACAAGGCGAAATGAATTTAATACACCCAATAAGCATGGTGTGGCTTTGGCGGTGACGTGATGGGGGCGTAATGTCGTAGGTCAACCGGGGCAAGGGGCAGGAGGTTGGTCAGTCACGCAGGCCTTTACTGAATAGATAATAAAGACTGCTTGAATGACTGATTTTGAAATGAAACTGCAGGCAGTGATTTTCTTGTAGTTTCATGATAACTTAATCGGTAACAGCAAGTATATTATATATTCGTTATATAGCAAGGGACCGTGTGGATATAAAAGGTTTTCATAAAGACTGCTTAAATACTAATAGGATTATGTATAAAACACATTTTTTTCCAGGTATCTTAACAAGATTAGAATTAACGGCAAACCACTGATTAAAAAAGGATACCGTTGGAGAAATTAAAAGAATCCCTAGGTAGCTATTACATGCCATAGAGCAGAAATTGGATAGCGATACGGGAGATATATTGCTCGGCATAAAGCCGAGCTCTGTAACTTTCTACCGTTCCGAGCATCCCACTTGTGAATCGTATTTCGGGATCGCTTTTTATCTTTTTTTTTTGCGGGATGCGGCGAATTCCAAGTGACAGCGGCACGGAACACTTCGCAGCTCATATATCACTTGCCCGTAACGTGTTAACGGCCAACTGTCACCTCCGTTCTTCATTCGTCAACTCTATTGTTTGTCTTAATGCCTTTCATAGTGTTTCGTGTGTTATATTGCTATTATTATTGTTAATAACTGCAGTGCTACCAATTAGGATATATATTCATGAATTGGCATAACTTTAATCCCTTTAAAGTGGACATCAGTTTATGAGGGGATTCCAGGAGTATTTACGTTTTTAGTAACTCTTGTTTTCTTTTTTATTTTCACTAAATAATATATATATAAAACAAAATTTTAATACAAAATAACGGCTATTATCCAATGCTTTCACTTTAGTCGATATTAAAGAGAAATTCTTTAACTATACGGAAGTAAATTCCGTAAAGCCCAGTTCCCTAATGTTACATACGAGCTTAGCTTAGAACGAAAATCTGAGAGCCCGCATGATTCCGCAAGAGAATTTTATCTGGCGACGGCGGTTCCAGTCGCGTGAAGTGTGAACACATCGGAGATTTCCGCAGATATAAATCCCGGTGTGCGACACCTACGCTTTACACCCGTCGCATCCCGTGCAATCCGTGAATTTGTGGACTGGAAGCCGGCAACGATGCATCGCACTTGGAATTCGAACGCGCCAAACCTACCCACAGAACTGTATTCACGGATCGTCACGTACCCTGTTCGCGTTCGGCACCATATTGCCGCATTTGTCATCCTTTGTGGGTGTCAATTTGGAGTCTGAATAGCAAATTTCGTGTTTCCCAAGATGAAACCGTTATTAAGGTACTTAACTGGTCTTTATGTCGTCACTATGATATTGACACTTTGGTAATGAAGTGAGAAGCAATTTTTTTTTTTGAGTGAATATCGTCTTTTGTTCAAAAGAACAAAACTAATTTCTTACTTAGTCGCACTAAGATCGAAACAACATTTTGATAATATTAATTAATACAAAAATATAATATTAAAGTTTATTTAGCTCACCAAAAACGGAAGTAGACTGGTAAAACTAATATGTGATTATGTAAATTACGTAAATTTTGGTGATATTAGTCTGAGGTTCAGCTAATAAATGAACCGAATTATATTAATGTTCTTAGTCTGTATGCAGCTCTTAGTTTGATAACAGTGTTTTATATGGAAATGAGCTCATTCTGGTTTTCACACTAGTAGTAATATATAATGTTTTCCTACTGTATAATTTCCCCCAGGAAAATTAATATCATATTTAAATATTCGTTCCCGACCATCAAAACATTGGTAGAGGGTGCTTTCTCGTAACTTCGTGAATTTCAATAATCGGAAACTCAAAGCATGTTTAGTTTCTTAAGACGACTAAGATATTCGCTAAGAGTTAATTTATTAAATCCTTTGTTTAACTTTTGGAATTAAACACCGTCGATAAGCTCAATATTAATATGAAAATAATTTCACAGTAAACAAATTAAGTAGATTTATAAGATTATCCTCTATTATAATAATAATCGATGAAATAAATGTAACTGATGGAATTGATTTTTATATCTATTTATTTAAATGTAATCAATTAATTTATAGCATTTTCGATAACTTTCAGCCATTTATTACGTGGCGTATTGTAGTAACGCCTATTGCTAACAATCGCAGCAGTTATTGTCCAAGTTCGGCTTTTGTAAGTGAATGATTACTATAGGGACAAAGCGAAATAGCGAATAAATACCATCATTGTTAAAACTTTTTTAGTTATGTGAATTGCACTAAGAAATCCAGGTTTAGCTATTTTATTACCATCGACATTATTTCCATAAAATGGGACCGGATATGGAATCGAGTTCAAGGCGACACATTTTATAGATATTACCGATGAAATCTATTTTCAATGTTAATGCGTCATGAAAGTAATTTTCGGACTTCAGATGAACTCGGATTTCATGAAGTAATGTTAGGAGTATATCTAAGAGATAAGAAATGATTTATAATTTAATACAATGAAAGCGGAAAGCAAATGAATTAGCGGGAAGTGTTAGACGTTCTAAAGACAAATTTTTGCACGAGGAAACGATGTTATTAAAATTATCGTGCGATGGTTTATTAAGTGTCTAAACAATCGCACAATGCCCCTTGTGCACGACTACACGTGCGATGACGCGTGACCGATTATTTTGCATTTTTTATACGATCAAAAACATCGTAAAATTAATACAATAAAGTATTTGTTTCGTAAGCACGATAACTTAAAAGCTTCAATTACGACAGTTTAAGGAGATTTCTCGTCGTACGACGAAATCGCATTGTTTACTCCTTGTTGATGGTTTCTTCTACTTCTTTATTATGATATGCATAAAAATTTATACCAAAAATTTATTATGACTTTTGAAATTATGAGTTAGAAATGTTATATTGTTGGTATTTTGGTAATTGATATCGGTTGGCATGCACTACGCCAACCGTCTTTCTGCGAAATAATATTATGCCATTTGCTTTTCACTTAGAGAAGTTATTTTCAATGTAATAGGGCGAAAGTCTAATCTAACAACCGTAGTGGGTAACTTTTGAAAGTTATAGCGGATGACGTAATATAGATGAGATAATTAGAGATTAGTTAGTTAACAAACATAGATTAGATAATTAGAGAGATTAGTTAACAATGATGAGATGATAGATCCTTGGCACTGAGAAAATAATGGCGTCATAAACACACATAAAAAAGTTCGGATAACTATCGTGTTACGCGATTTATGGATAAATTTGTGAAAAGACGAATAAATAAATAACGTTTTATAATAATAATGTGGGTGACGGTGATAATCGATTGGAATACAGCCAAAGTGGGTAGCGCGTATCGAGTGTCGTGCATAATTCACGGTTCTCTAATAAATGTCTCCTTGTCGAGAAGTTTGAAATGCAGAGCTGTTTTTTAAAATAGGAAATGGTGCGTTACCGTCTGGGCTCTTTATTTTACTTTGGCAAGTAAGATTTTGACCAAAGACCTGTTGAAATGTTTTCGAAATTCATATTGTATCTCTCTTTTATCTAGGGCTGTATTTATGGAAAGCAGAATTTTTATATTAAAAATGATAAAGATAACACCTGAGGCGCTATTATTTTCGTACATTCCGGTATATAGTGTAGAAATGTTCAGTTATGAAGTTGATAGATAATTAAATGTAAATTTTAAGTTAAAATATATTTTAGTCTTAATGAAAAATGTTTAGAAACACTGTTCCTGGCACCCTGAGATGAGACAAAGTGGAATTTTTAGCATTTTTCATTCAAAATATTTTT